GCAGGTCCGCCCCCACCACTTTTGAGGCGCCTCAAAAATCTTTATGAGGGCACAGGACATGTGTGGTAGCAGCAGGTCCGCCCCCACCACTTTTGAGGCGCCTCAAAAATCTTTATGAGGGCACAGGACATGTGTGGTAGCAGCAGGTCCGCCCCCACCACTTTTGAGGCGCCTCAAAAATCTTTATGAGGGCACAGGACATGTGTGGTAGCAGCAGGTCCGCCCCCACCACTTTTGAGGCGCCTCAAAAATCTTTATGAGGGCACAGGACATGTGTGGTAGCAGCAGGTCCGCCCCCACCACTTTTGAGGCGCCTCAAAAATCTTTATGAGGGCACACGACATGTGTGGTAGCAGCAGGTCCGCCCCCACCACTTTTGAGGCGCCTCAAAAATCTTTATGAGGGCACACGACATGTGTGGTAGCAGCAGGTCCGCCCCCACCACTTTTGAGGCGCCTCAAAAATTTTATGAGGGCACAGGACATGTGTGGTAGCAGCAGGTCCGCCCCCACCACTTTTGAGGCGCCTCAAAAATCTTTATGAGGGCACAGGACATGTGTGGTAGCAGCAGGTCCGCCCCACCACTTTTGAGGCGCCTCAAAAATCTTTATGAGGGCACAGGACATGTGTGGTAGCAGCAGGTCCGCCCCCACCACTTTTGAGGCGCCTCAAAAATCTTTATGAGGGCACAGGACATGTGTGGTAGCAGCAGGTCCGCCCCCACCACTTTTGAGGCGCCTCAAAAATCTTTATGAGGGCACAGGACATGTGTGGTAGCAGCAGGTCCGCCCCCACCACTTTTGAGGCGCCTCAAAAATCTTTATGAGGGCACACGACATGTGTGGTAGCAGCAGGTCCGCCCCCACCACTTTTGAGGCGCCTCAAAAATCTTTATGAGGGCACAGGACATGTGTGGTAGCAGCAGGTCCGCCCCCACCATTGAGGCGCCTCAAAAATCTTTATGAGGGCACAGGACATGTGTGGTAGCAGCAGGTCCGCCCCCACCACTTTTGAGGCGCCTCAAAAATCTTTATGAGGGCACAGGACATGTGTGGTAGCAGCAGGTCCGCCCCCACCACTTTTGAGGCGCCTCAAAAATCTTTATGAGGGCACAGGACATGTGTGGTAGCAGCAGGTCCGCCCCCACCACTTTTGAGGCGCCTCAAAAATCTTTATGAGGGCACAGGACATGTGTGGTAGCAGCAGGTCCGCCCCCACCACTTTTGAGGCGCCTCAAAAATCTTTATGAGGGCACAGGACATGTGTGGTAGCAGCAGGTCCGCCCCCACCACTTTTGAGGCGCCTCAAAAATCTTTATGAGGGCACACGACATGTGTGGTAGCAGCAGGTCCGCCCCCACCATTGAGGCGCCTCAAAAATCTTTATGAGGGCACAGGACATGTGTGGTAGCAGCAGGTCCGCCCCCACCACTTTTGAGGCGCCTCAAAAATCTTTATGAGGGCACAGGACATGTGTGGTAGCAGCAGGTCCGCCCCCACCACTTTTGAGGCGCCTCAAAAATCTTTATGAGGGCACAGGACATGTGTGGTAGCAGCAGGTCCGCCCCCATCACTTTTGAGGCGCCTCAAAAATCTTTATGAGGGCACAGGACATGTGTGGTAGCAGCAGGTCCGCCCCCACCACTTTTGAGGCGCCTCAAAAATCTTTATGAGGGCACAGGACATGTGTGGTAGCAGCAGGTCCGCCCCCACCACTTTTGAGGCGCCTCAAAAATCTTTATGAGGGCACACGACATGTGTGGTAGCAGCAGGTCCGCCCCCACCACTTTTGAGGCGCCTCAAAAATCTTTATGAGGGCACAGGACATGTGTGGTAGCAGCAGGTCCGCCCCCACCACTTTTGAGGCGCCTCAAAAATCTTTATGAGGGCACACGACATGTGTGGTAGCAGCAGGTCCGCCCCCACCACTTTTGAGGCGCCTCAAAAATCTTTATGAGGGCACACGACATGTGTGGTAGCAGCAGGTCCGCCCCCACCACTTTTGAGGCGCCTCAAAAATTTTATGAGGGCACAGGACATGTGTGGTAGCAGCAGGTCCGCCCCCACCACTTTTGAGGCGCCTCAAAAATCTTTATGAGGGCACAGGACATGTGTGGTAGCAGCAGGTCCGCCCCCACCACTTTTGAGGCGCCTCAAAAATCTTTATGAGGGCACAGGACATGTGTGGTAGCAGCAGGTCCGCCCCCACCACTTTTGAGGCGCCTCAAAAATCTTTATGAGGGCACAGGACATGTGTGGTAGCAGCAGGTCCGCCCCCACCACTTTTGAGGCGCCTCAAAAATCTTTATGAGGGCACAGGACATGTGTGGTAGCAGCAGGTCCGCCCCCACCACTTTTGAGGCGCCTCAAAAATCTTTATGAGGGCACAGACATGTGTGGTAGCAGCAGGTCCGCCCCCACCACTTTTGAGGCGCCTCAAAAATCTTTATGAGGGCACAGGACATGTGTGGTAGCAGCAGGTCCGCCCCCACCACTTGAGGCGCCTCAAAAATCTTTATGAGGGCACAGGACATGTGTGGTAGCAGCAGGTCCGCCCCCACCACTTTTGAGGCGCCTCAAAAATCTTTATGAGGGCACAGGACATGTGTGGTAGCAGCAGGTCCGCCCCCACCACTTTTGAGGCGCCTCAAAAATCTTTATGAGGGCACAGGACATGTGTGGTAGCAGCAGGTCCGCCCCCATCACTTTTGAGGCGCCTCAAAAATCTTTATGAGGGCACAGGACATGTGTGGTAGCAGCAGGTCCGCCCCCACCACTTTTGAGGCGCCTCAAAATCTTTATGAGGGCACAGGACATGTGTGGTAGCAGCAGGTCCGCCCCCACCACTTTTGAGGCGCCTCAAAAATCTTTATGAGGGCACAGGACATGTGTGGTAGCAGCAGGTCCGCCCCCACCACTTTTGAGGCGCCTCAAAAATCTTTATGAGGGCACTCGACATGTGTGGTAGCAGCAGGTCCGCCCCCACCACTTTTGAGGCGCCTCAAAAATCTTTATGAGGGCACACGACATGTGTGGTAGCAGCAGGTCCGCCCCCACCACTTTTGAGGCGCCTCAAAAATCTTTATGAGGGCACACGACATGTGTGGTAGCAGCAGGTCCGCCCCCACCACTTTTGAGGCGCCTCAAAAATCTTTATGAGGGCACAGGACATGTGTGGTAGCAGCAGGTCCGCCCCCACCACTTTTGAGGCGCCTCAAAAATCTTTATGAGGGCACAGGACATGTGTGGTAGCAGCAGGTCCGCCCCCACCACTTTTGAGGCGCCTCAAAAATCTTTATGAGGGCACAGGACATGTGTGGTAGCAGCAGGTCCGCCCCCACCACTTTTGAGGCGCCTCAAAAATCTTTATGAGGGCACAGGACATGTGTGGTAGCAGCAGGTCCGCCCCCACCACTTTTGAGGCGCCTCAAAAATCTTTATGAGGGCACAGGACATGTGTGGTAGCAGCAGGTCCGCCCCCACCACTTTTGAGGCGCCTCAAAAATCTTTATGAGGGCACACGGACATGTGTGGTAGCAGCAGGTCCGCCCCCACCACTTTTAGGCGCCTCAAAAATCTTTATGAGGGCACAGGACATGTGTGGTAGCAGCAGGTCCGCCCCCACCACTTTTGAGGCGCCTCAAAAATCTTTATGAGGGCACAGGACATGTGTGGTAGCAGCAGGTCCGCCCCCACCACTTTTGAGGCGCCTCAAAAATCTTTATGAGGGCACAGGACATGTGTGGTAGCAGCAGGTCCGCCCCCACCACTTTTGAGGCGCCTCAAAAATCTTTATGAGGGCACAGGACATGTGTGGTAGCAGCAGGTCCGCCCCCACCACTTTTGAGGCGCCTCAAAAATCTTTATGAGGGCACAGGACATGTGTGGTAGCAGCAGGTCCGCCCCCACCACTTTTGAGGCGCCTCAAAAATCTTTATGAGGGCACAGGACATGTGTGGTAGCAGCAGGTCCGCCCCCACCACTTTTGAGGCGCCTCAAAAATCTTTATGAGGGCACAGGACATGTGTGGTAGCAGCAGGTCCGCCCCCACCACTTTTGAGGCGCCTCAAAAATCTTTATGAGGGCACAGGACATGTGTGGTAGCAGCAGGTCCGCCCCCACCACTTTTGAGGCGCCTCAAAAATCTTTATGAGGGCACAGGACATGTGTGGTAGCAGCAGGTCCGCCCCCACCACTTTTGAGGCGCCTCAAAAATCTTTATGAGGGCACAGGACATGTGTGGTAGCAGCAGGTCCGCCCCCACCACTTTTGAGGCGCCTCAAAAATCTTTATGAGGGCACAGGACATGTGTGGTAGCAGCAGGTCCGCCCCCACCACTTTTGAGGCGCCTCAAAAATCTTTATGAGGGCACAGGACATGTGTGGTAGCAGCAGGTCCGCCCCCACCACTTTTGAGGCGCCTCAAAAATCTTTATGAGGGCACACGACATGTGTGGTAGCAGCAGGTCCGCCCCCACCACTTTTGAGGCGCCTCAAAAATCTTTATGAGGGCACACGACATGTGTGGTAGCAGCAGGTCCGCCCCCACCACCCGGCCCTGCTCCAGGTGTAACCCGCCCGGGCCTATGGCGAATCTCAGGAGCTTGTTAAGACGCAGGTGCAGGGAGGGCTGGGATGGGAAGGAAGAGAGGAAAGGGGAGAATGTGTGAGCGCGGTATGCTATGCACGTTACATGGGAGAGTGAGGAGACCTGTTGATCAACTCAAGAGTCATGCGCATATGAGCATTAAGCATGTCACATCGCACTCGACTATACAACATACTTAGTGTAAGTGTTAGATTGTAGTACATCGTACATACGTCATTAAGAGTGTGAGGAGGCAGAGAGCCGAAGACCACTGGTGGGTCGTCGCTCATCACCAAAGAGCCGTCTGCTGCCAGCAGGAAGTTTTTGAGTCAAATCAAATAATCGTCCCACTACGGTACTTGACACGGCCATGGGGGCTTTCGAGTCGACTCAAAAGGACATGGGGGCACATACGTCGTTGAGAGTGTGAGGGGGCAGAGAGCCGAAGACCACTGGTGGGTCGTCGCTCGTCACCAAAGAGCCGTCTGCTGCCAGCAGGAGAACCACCTGAGATGGACGCAAAGGGGAAAAGAGGGGTGCAGAGGAGTGCATAGGAGTGCATGGAGAGATTGAGGAGGAAAAGATACAAATCAAAGCCTTACTTGCTGTTTCCAAGACATACAAAAGCCCGTAACAAATTTTGAATCGACTCGACAGTCACTTTGCAACAAGGGAAGCTGTTACCACCTGACCAGCTGGTTTCTGCGAGCTCAAAACCCAAAACGCTGCCCTGAACCTCTCTGCCGCACCTTCTCTTTTTGAGTCGACTCAAAAGCAGGCTCCAGTTCTCCGCAAGAGGTAAAGCGATGGACCAACTTCTTAAGCGCCTCAAATTCTTTTCTTCCCCATGTCCTTTTCAGAAGTTGGTCCATTGCTCAAACTCTTTTTAGACGTCTCAAAAGTTCTCAAAAGCCGACTTGTGAGGCGCCTCAAAATAGTCTCATCAAACACGAATCTCTTAGGCATGTTATAAATCGTCTCATTGAACCCGGAATGCAAAGGCACCCTAAAGGCATGCTGTGGTTTCAGTTATCCTCGATACAAAGAGATTGACTCACCTGTTGCTGCTCCGGTATTTTCCCTGATCCGTCTGTATCAATCACAAACCGACTGCACGCTGCATCCTTCCACTGTAGCACCAGCGGTGAGAGGCCCAACGTGTAGTGCGAATGCCTGGGAGGGAGGAGGAATGGGGGGCATTGGGCAATGAAAGGAGGGAGATACAAGCGGTGGGGCGAAGAGGTTCGCGAATCGACTGCACGCGGCATCCTTCCACACTGCAGCAGCACCAAACGCAAGAGGCCCACAGTGTAGTGCGCGTGGCTGGGAGGGAAGAGGAAAGGAGGAAGTTGGGGAGCAAGGGAGGGATGAGTGGTGGGGCAAAGAGGGGTGCGAACCGACTGCACGCTGCATCCTTCCAATGGAGCAGCAGTGGCGAGAGACCCAACGTGTAGTGTGAGTGGCTGGGAGGGAGGAGGGGGAGAGGGACGTCGAGAAATCGAGGCATCGTGTGTGAGCTCCACGTGCAACACAGCAATGCAAGGGGAACCGTATGGAGCAAGGGGGGGGAGGAAGAGGAGGAGCAAGAGGAGGAGCAAGGGGGGGGAGGAAGAGGAGGAGCAAGAGGAGGAGCAAGGGGGGGGAGGAAGAGGAGGAGCAAGAGGAGGAGCAAGGGGGGGGAGGAAGAGGAGGAGCAAGAGGAGGAGCAAGGGGGGGGAGGAAGAGGAGGAGCAAGAGGAGGAGCAAGGGGGGGGAGGAAGAGGAGGAGCAAGAGGAGGAGCAAGGGGAGGGAGGAAGAGGAGGAGCAAGAGGAGGAGCAAGGGCTGCTGCTGCTGTTGCTGGAAGTATTGGTGCTGCTGCTGCTGGTGCTGCTGCTGCTGCAGCTGGGAAGGCGGGGAGGGGGAAACCAGGCGGAGGTGAGCAGGAAGGAAAGATGGGAGGGTTTGAACATCCACCAGGGAGGGGCGAGGGGTGACAGTGTTCCAGCGAGGAGGGGTGCCAGTATTGCCTCGATCAAACCAGGCGTCATCGAGCGCCTTGAAGCACGTGGTAGGAGGGTGGTTGGTTTGACCGCAAGGAGTACGAGCGTAGGGACCATGGCGGCGAACATTCGTGCATGGGGAGAGAGTTCCAGGGCGACCGCCTCGAGTCACAGCACTACCGGCACCGGAAGGTCCTCCAGCAGGGGTGCCACCAGCACCACTACTATCACCGCCACCACGGCCACCACGGCCACCACGGCCACCACCACTACCACCACCACTACCACCACCACCACCTCCGCCCTAACCACCACCACCTCCGCCCCCCCCACGACCACCCCCGCCGCCGTTGCGACCACCGCGCGGCTGCGTGGCATTGAGGGAGGAGGAGGAGGAGGAGGAGGAGCAGGGGTGGTGAGGTTGATGATGGGAGTGCGGAGTTTGACCTCTGTGTCAATAATCCACTGCGCCACCTCGTGAACGCCAGCAAGGGGGTTTGCCTCAGTGAAGGTGTGGAGGCGAGACTCGTAGTCTGGTGTGAGATTGAAGAGTAAATGGTGAATCTGCAGTGCTTCTGGGAGGGCAGCCTGGCGAGCCGCGAAGCCTTCGACAACTTCCTGTATTCGCCCAACGTAGTCGACTGCTCCGTCACAGGTGGCGAGGGTGATGGAGAAATATTCCTGGAAGAGGACGCCGACGAAGCTGATGTCGCGACGCTCGAAAATGGACTGGAGCTCGGTCTAGATCAGGTGGGCGCGCATTTCGCGAGCTTGGAAGCGGCGCATAAGGGCGTCGGTAAGTGCACCGAGGAGGATGGTGCAGGCGCGGTTGTCAGTAGCGACCCAGACGATGTTGTTGGGGAAGTGAGTCGCCATGGCCATGTTGAACTCATCAATCATGGCTAGGCGATTGGCTCGGTCTGCCGTCGTGAACTCGTAGTCGTATACTGCAGCATCGTGGGCGGCCTTGCGGATGAGGTTTTCGCGGCGGTTGTGGAGAAACGTGGCATCAGCTGCAGCTTGGAGCTCGTCAGTGGCGGCCTGTGGCAAGTCAGGCTTGAGAGGAGGAGGACCAGGAGGGGGAGGGAGAGGAGGAGGTTCACCAGGGTGAGTGGGGGGCGTCGGCTGGAGGGCGTGGGCGCGGCGAAGGAGGACGTCTAGGACACATTAGGGTCCGACGAAGGCATCCTGGAGGACGCGGCGAACGCTGCCGACGAAGGAGTGCCAGTTGATGGCCGAGCGATCTGCAGCGAGTTGGAGTTTGTCGACGGACGAGGCGTCGATGGGAGGGGGGAGGGGGGCAGAAGGATTGGTAGCCATGAGGGGCGGCGGCGGGTGGACCCACGGCGGCCACGAGGGAGACGGCAGCGGGTGGACTCGCGGTCGTCAAGGGGGGAGGGCGACGGCGGGTGGACCCGCGGCGGCCATGTGGAGGGAGGGGGGGGGGGGCTGCCGCTGCTGCTGGTGCACTCCGCTGCTGCTGCTGCTGCTGCTGCTGCACTCCGCAGGCTGCTGCTGCTGCTGCTGCAGTTGCGCTTCGCCGGTTGCTGCTGCTGCTGCAGTTGCGTTCCGCCGGCCGCTGCTGCTGCTGCCGCTGCGCTCCGCTAGCTGCTGCTGCAGTTGCGTTCCGCCAACTTGCTGCTGCTGCCGCTGCGCTCCACCAACTGCTGCTGCTGCTGCTGTTGCCGCTGCGTTCCGCCGGCTGCTGCTGCTGCTGCCGCTGCTGCCGCTGCGCTCCGCCGGCTGGTGCTGCTGCTGCCGCTGCGCTCTGCTGGCTGCTGCTGCTGCTGCTGTAGCGTCTGCTGCTGCTGCCGGGGGTAGGAGAAGGAGAGGAGGGGGGAGGGGGAAGGGGGAGCGGAGGGCGGCGACACGTGGTCGCGGCGGCGGGTACAGTGGGCGGCGACGAAGCAGGTGCGGCGGCGGAAAGGGCAGGCGGCGACAAACAGTCGCGGTGGCGGCTGCTGCAGGTGGCGACGAAGTGGTCGCGGCGGCAGGAATGGCAGGCGGCGGCGAAAAACAATCGCGGCGGCGGGAATGGCAGGCGGCGGCGAAAAACAATCGCGGCGGCGGGAAGGGCAGGTGGCGACACCGCAGTCGCGGCGGCAGGAAGGGAAGGCAGCGACGAAAAGCAGTCGCTGCGGCGGGAAGGGCAGGCGGTGACGAAACGCAGTCGCCGCGGCGGGAAGGGCAGGCGGCGACGATGCAGTCGCGACGGCGGGAAGGGAAGGCGGCGACGAAAAGGAGTCGCAGCGGCAGGCGGGAAGGGCAGGCGGGAAGGGAGGCAGTCGCGACGGCGGGAGGGGCAAGCTGCGACGAAGCAGTCGCGGCGGCGGGAAGGGCTCGTGGCGACGAAAAGGTAGTCGCGGCGGCGGGAAGGGCAGGCGGCGACGAAGCGGTCGCGACGGCGGGAAGGTCAAGCAGCGACGGAGGCAGTCGCGGCGGCGGGAAGGGAAGGCGGCGACGAAGTAGTCGCCGCGGCGGGAAGCGCTCGCGGCGACGAAGAGGCAGTCGCGGCGGCGGGAAGGGCAAGCGGCGACGAAGCGGCGGCAGGAAGGGCAGGCGGCGACGGGAAGAGGTCGCGGCGGCGGGAAGGGGCAGGCGACGACGGGATGGTTGCGGCTGCGGGAGGGGCAGGCGGCGACGAGGGGAGTCGCGGCGGCTGGGGGGGCAGGCGGCGACAAGGGAGTCGCGGCGGCAGGAAAGGGGTGGAACGGCGGCGATGCGATCGCGGCGGTAGAATCCGCGAGCGAGGAGAGCGCAATCGCGGCGGGGAGAGGGGAAGGCGGCGACTTGAGGGTCGCGACGCTAAGCGTGCTAACGGTGGCTAGTAGAGCCACGGTGGAAAGGAAGCTTGAAACTGTAGGGTGGGCCCACGGAAAGAATAAGCTTGAGGGTAGGGAAAGATAAGGGCCAAGGAAAAATTAGCTCTATACCATGTGAAAGTTGCAGATTGAACCATTGAATTCATTAGGGTAGGAACTAGCATACATAGAAGGAAGAGAAGCTTGGAAGGGAAGGGTGGAGTTGACCATAGGTTGGGTTGGCCACACTTTGGACAGTGAGGCAACCTTAGGTCAAGTATGTTGGGTTGGCCGCACTCTTGTGAAAGTGAGGTAGTCTTAGACCCACTTGGGTTGGGTTGGCCTCACTTCGGGGAGTGAGGAAACCTTAGGTGAAGTAGGTTGGGTTGGCCACATTCTTGTGGAAGTGAGGTAGAATTAGGCCCACTTGGGTTGGGTTCTATGATGGATTTGACGCGCTCAGCGTTTTGACTCTCAGCATCTTCTCAAAACGCGAGCGTTTTGACGCTCTTGACGCCCCTTGTCCCAGGGGTACCCCCCAGTTTGACGCTCTGGCGGGCAGGCAAAAAAAAACTCCCGGGCAGGGGTAAACAACTGGGAACAGGGGGTTTAGTAAGAGAAGTTGGGTGGTGGGGGGGTTGGGGAGCAGGAGTTGTAGGATATGTGGGGCAGTCATGAAAAAGAAGTACTTCATAAGTAAAAGCATCCAAGTTTGCCTCGTTCTCCATCAATTACTTAGCACATTGGGCGTTTTTTCGATTTCGGGCTGCCCGGAAAATTTTGGCCAGAGAGTCAAGCGTTTTGACGCTTTGACGCGTCAAACGTCAAAACGCCACGTTTTGACGACTGAAATTTTCTGAATCTGGCGTCAAATCCATCATAGGTTGGGTTGGCCTCACTTGAGGCAACCTTAGGTCAAAGGTTGGGTTTGGCCACACTCTTGTGGAAGTGAGGTAGCCTTAGGCCCACTTGGGTTGGGTTGGCCTCACTTTGGGGAGTGAGGCAACTTTAGGTCAAGTAGGTTGGGTTGGCCAAACTCTTGTGGAAGTGAGGTAGCCTTAGGTCCACTTGGGTTGGGTTGGCCTCACTTTGGGGAGTGAGGCAACTTTAGGTCAAGTAGGTTGGGTTGGCCAAACTCTTGTGGAAGTGAGGTAGCCTTAGGTCCACTTGGGTTGGGTTGGCCTCACTTTGGGGAGTGAGGCAACTTTAGGTCAAGTAGGTTGGGTTGGCCAAACTCTTGTGGAAGTGAGGTAGCCTTAGGCCCACTTGGGTTGGGTTGGCCTCACTTGTGGGAAGTGAGGCAACCTTAGGTCAAGTAGGTTGGGTTGGCCACACTCTTGTGGAAGTGAGGTAGCCTTAGGCCCACTTGGGTTGGGTTGGCCTCACTTGTGGGAAGTGAGGCAACCTTAAGTCAAGGGGGTTGCATTTGGGGGCTCCACCACAATTGGGTGGATTGGCACCCCACAATGCAAGACTACACCAAAAGTGGGGTGTAGTCCCAACCCAACTGTACACCACAATTGGTGTACAGTCACAAGTGTTGGCATGCTACAATATATATTTTCTAACAAAGGGGGGGGAGGAAGAGGAGGAGCAAGAGGGGAGAGGGAAGAGCAGCCCATCGCAAATGAAGTCCAATATAGATGAATCACATTATAAGTCAAGCAGTGATTCAAATACCAAGAGTTCCTCACCGGTTGTAAAAGAGCAGTCCATCGCGAGTGAAGTCCACTTGTGAAGTTGCTGGCTCTGAAATGCCACCATTCATCATTCCATTGACATTCTCACTACCCACTGCCGCTGCTCTCCCCGCTCCTACCACTGCCCCTCCTACCCCTGCTCCCTCCTCTGTCCCCCCTGCCTCCCCTGCCCCTGCTGCTCCTCCTGCCCCTGCTGTCCCTCCCCCCGCCTCTCTCCACCCGCAGTAAGCAGCCTCCAGCCCTTGGCGATGGCACTCAAAGAAGGGCGTGGGAGCGAAGCGGAAGCGGTTGAAGTGGGAGGGCGGGTCGCAAGCGCCGCACTGAGGCAGGTGCGTGTGCAGCCAGAAGAGTCTGAATTCTGCGGTGCAATCATAGAGAGAGTAGCCTCGCCATGCCATCACATCCAGAACGTAGTATGTGCTGTTGGGCTGGCAGGAGAGAGGAGCGAGGAGTGGAGAAGGAGGGGGGGTGGGGGAAGGGGGAGGGCCAGGTGTTCAGTTGCTGTGGCAGTGAAAGAAGGGCGTGGGTGCGAAGCGGAAGCGGTGCAAGTGGGAGGGCGGGTAGCAGGCACCGCACTGCGGCAGGTGTGTATGCAGCCAGAAGAGGCGGAACTCGGCCGTGCAGTCATAGAGGGAGTAGCCTCGCCATGCCATGACGTCTAGCACGTAATAGGTGCTGTTGGGCTGTCGTGTGTTGGGAGGGGAAGAGATGCAGGGGGTGAGTCAGGCGCCGCACTGCGGCAGGTGTGTGTGCAGCCAGAAGAGGCAAACTCGGCCGTGCAAGCATATGGAGAGTATCCACGCCATGCCATCACATCCAGAGCATGGTACGTGTTATTGGGCTGCTTGAAGGGTGGGGGTGTGGTTGGTGGGGAAGAGGGAATGGGAGGCGCAAGGAGCAAGGAGGGGCGACTCAAGGTTGAGGGATTTTTCTCAAAAAGGTTGAGAATTCTCTAAAAATCCCTGAGACGCAAGGAGCAAGGAGGGGCGACCCAAGGTGGAGCCAAACTGTTGCGGCAGGCGTGTGTGCGTCTGTGCAGCCAGAAGAGAAGAAACTAGTATTGGAGTCGACTCAAAAATAGAAGCAAGAGTAGGAACCCTGCTGTGCAGCCACTGAGGGGATAATCACGCCGGAAGAGCCAGACTGTTCCAGCAGGTGAATGTGCTGATGATGCAGCAGGAAAATCATGCATGGCTATTCCATCCATAGAGGGAATAGCGATGATGCTGCTAATAACTCAGGGCAGGTTTTGGGTCAACTCAAAACAGGTCAGGGCCACAGCCCTTGACTCCAAGAGAGATCACTGGCGCTATTTGGGAGGAGCGAGGGGGCACTGAGTGGAAGGCATGTCTTAACGGAAAGCCAAACCCCAAGTTCCTAAAACCCGAAACCCGAACCCTTTACACTCACCTCAAAAGATGTAGAGTCCAGGAAAGTAGACGTAGGCGCCAGCAGCGATACCGGGAGCCCGGGCGCCGTTGCACAGGCACGAGGGGAAGCGGTGGAGGATTTAACTCTACCCTCAACCCAGAACCCACAACCTTAAACCCCTGAAGTCTCACCTCGTGGAAGATGCAGTCCAGGATGCAGTAGACGTGCGCGCCAGCAGCGATACCGGGCGCCCTTGCCCCGTTGGGTAAATGCGAGGTAAAGCGGTGGAGAATCCAACCCTAAACCCCCAAGCCTTAAACTATGAACGTGTCCAAAACCCTGTAGTCTCACCTCGTGGAAAATACAGTCCAGAATGCAGTAGACGTGGGCGCCAGCAGCGATACCGGGCGCTCTTGCCCCGTTGGATAGATGCGAGGGGAAGCGGTGGAGAATCCAACCCTAAACCCCCAAGCCTTAAACTATGAAGTCTCACCTCGTGGAAAATACAGTCCAGAATGCAGTAGACATGCGTGCCAGCAACTATACCAGGAGCTCTTGCTCCGTTGGGCAGGCGCGAGAAGAAGCGGTGGAGGATTGTGTCCTGAACCTAAGGCCTAAACCTCGACCCGCCCAAAACCCTGAAGTCTCACCTCGTGGAAGATGCAGTCCAGAATGCAGTAGACATGGGCGCCAGCCGCGATACCGGGTGCCCTTGCCCCGTTGGGTAGATGCGAGGGGAAGCGGTGGAGAATCCGGCCGTTGCGCAGGCGACTCACTGTGGTGCCGTTCGCAGATACCACCAAACAGCGCCGCCCGTCCGGCCGTGGCATCACAAACCTGGGGGTTGAGGTGAGGTGAGGTGAGATGGCAGGCCAGAAAGGGGGAGAAGGGCAGAAAGGGGGAGAAGGGCAGAAAGGGGGAGAAGGGCAGAAAGGGGGAGAAGGGCAGAAAGGGGGAGAAGGGCAGAAAGGGGGAGAAGGGCAGAAAGGGGGAGAAGGGCAGAAAGGGGGAGAAGGGCAGAAAGGGGGAGAAGGGCAGAAAGGGGGAGAAGGGCAGAAAGGGGGAGACGGGCAGAAAGGGGGAGAAGGGCAGAAAGGGGGAGAAGGGCAGAAAGGGGGAGAAGGGCAGAAAGGGGGAGAAGGGCAGAAAGGGGGAGACGGGCAGAAAGGGGGAGAAGGGCAGAAAGGGGGAGAAGGGCAGAAAGGGGGAGAAGGGCAGAAAGGGGGAGAAGGGCAGAAAGGGGGAGACGGGCAGAAAGGGGGAGAAGGGCAGAAAGGGGGAGAAGGGCAGAAAGGGGGAGACGGGCAGAAAGGAAGACTGGCGGAGAGTGAAACAGAGAGGAGGAGAAGGGGAACTGTGAGAAAGCGAAAGGAAGGAAGAAATCAGAGACAGAACAGTGTTGTGTTGTGAGGTGGAAAGGATCCAAGTGCTGTACTGGTGGGTTTCACGAATTCCTGAAACCACAAGGAGAGCCAACGTAGCAAGGCACGTCACAGGGAAATTCGCGATGGAAATTGACCAATCAGAAGCGAGAGAGGGCCGACAGACTAGAGGTGGGAGAGAACTGACCAATCAGAGGCGAGTCGAGGCGGAACATCGACCATCCATTCGGGTAGCATGAGCTGCTGCGCATACCACTCCCTTGCTCCGTCTGAGACGCCTCTGTCTGCATCAACCGCGCCCCCCCTCTCTCCGTGCCCTCTTCTCCCCCGCTACCCCCTTTGCCAGCCACAACATGCGGCACAAACAACCCTCTCATCTCCTGTTCAATTTCCACAACGCCCCCATTACCCCCCTCCTCATCCCCCTCCACATTCCCCTCCCCGTCCATCTCCATGCCCTCCCCACCCGCTTCACGCACCATTCCAGATAATCCCTCCCCCACACCCACTCCTCCCTGGACAATCTCCTCAGAGCCAATCGTTCCGTCCCCTGAAGGGCCTTCAACTGCATTAATTCTAGCTTCAGAAGCAGAGGCCTCCGTTGCACTTCTTAAAGCTTCTGAACTGAAGCTGATCTGCTCGATCCTTCTCCCTGAGCCGTCGATTCTGAATCCATCTTGGTCGATCCTCGTCCATTGGCCAGAAGCCTCGTCGAACTCGCATATTTCCGGAAGCAGCGGCGAAACTTCTTTCGTCTCTGGCGCTGCGGCGGCAGACTCGCGCGCCTCGATCTCCTCCGCGAGAGTCACGGCGCCAGTTGCGGCGAGAGCCACGTGTCGCGCGTGCAGCTGGAGATCCCGCCGCGCGGCGCGCTGCCGCTCCAGAGCGAGCTCGCGCCGCCGTTGCTGGTCGGTCGCGCCGTGCCGGCCGGTGGGCTTGTGCGGGCGGACGGGGGACGGCGCGGCGGGATCCGCGGGCGGGGAAGCGGAGAAAATCGGGGGATTGGCGGATGAAAAAGAAGCGGAGGCGGAAAAGGGGGACGATGCGGGGAAGGTTGCGGAAGGCGGAGGCGGGTTAACTGCCATGGCGGAAAAATCCCAGAATTCGGAGTACTGAGAGCTTGCTGATAGGCGCTCGACCGAGCTCGCCCGCGTGTGGTTCTAAAGCATGTGATTGTAACGAGATCACTTGTGTATTATCGGGTTTTGGCGATCACGGGAACGGAGGGGGAACGGTGTGCGGCAATGGCAACATGTCCCTGAGGAATTTGAATCTGAGCCAACGGTTACCTCAAAGCAACTGAACGGTGTGTGGTGATGGCAAAAAATGCACAATCGCGTCACGGCAAAATCTAGGTGGATCGGACTACAGGAGGGGGGACATGCAAACGGCTGGATGAGTCGCTAGCATGACAGCTCGCTATCGTTCGAAGTTGAAATGTAGGTGGAGAGGACTGAGTGTGGAACTCGAGATTCTCAAATCTGGACTCTCGAGCGTTCTGTAGCTGATGCAGTGTGATCATGTCAATATTTTCCGAAGGATTCAGAGAAGGCCGATAGGGGTGCCGCACACCCACTTACTAGAAAGGTGGAGTGTGAAACAAGGTCAGGATGCTGAGCTCTGATTTTAGATAAACGTCAAGTGCTCATGGTGATCCTGAACACTGGACAGAGTAATTACGAATAGTTTAGGGGAGATAACTTACTGGTTACCAGATCCTATGTTGCGGATTCCTAAGGATATGCTAAGCATGTCTAAACGCGAGGCCGAAATCTAAATTGATTACGAGGGTTTGACACGCGACAGGAATGCGCCTTCAGCATTTTGAGCACAATAGATGGAAATATACTAGTCCCCTTCACAGATCGCTTCATCACGCGGAATACCCAAGGTATGGCAACCTTTCTCCCCGCATCACGACGATCCTAATTTCACTTGCTAGTAATGAATCATATCTAACTAGACTGTGTCTGGTATGGTAGGTTCCTCATAGCCGCAATAACTACGCAAACTGTTAATAACCGATTTCGTAGCCCTCGCGAGGGACTGAATGCGCTTTGCCATTCCAAGCAACGGAAACTGCCGCTTGGCCCTTTTCACCGTTAACTACCAAAAGAAACCCGTATTAGTAGATGCTGGACGTTCCCCAGCATTTGTCATCTCTGTCTCCCGCGCGCGCTCTCCTATAGTTTTCAGGCGTCAGTGATGACTCGCGAATTAACCCGTACACCGTTAGTACCACCACGAAAAAACCGTACTAGTAGATCGTCATAAGGACGTCCCCCAGCATTTGTCACTGCTGCCTCCGCGCTCTCTCCTGTAGTTTTGAGGCGTCTGTCATGACTCGCGAATTGATTTGTAAACCGTTACTACACAAGGCCGTCCACCATCCACTTGTTGCTTTCGCCCCGGCTCTCTCTCCGAGGAGGTGTTCTCCTCTAGTTTCGAGTTGTAGACGTGTTTTGAGTCGACTCATAACACCGTTCGCCCCTGCTCTCTCTCCGAGGAGGTGTTCTCCTGTAGTTTCGAGACGTAGACTAATATGGAAGTTCTCTCCGACGCTCCCTCCTCCTCTTTTCGTCCTCCTCACGCTCTCCGTCGCCGTTTTCGCGCAGCAGGTCAGAGCAATTTCCCGTTGGTGGCATCCCAGTTCCGTATCTCCTATTTTGAAACGTCTCATAAACAATTTCCCCGTCGTGACATCCCAGTTTCGTATCTCCTCGCGTGCTCGATTGCTCAATTCCTCCATTCACACTATTGTTATCCAGAGAGCATTCCGCCATTACTCGACACACCACAGTACGCATACGTTTCGTCTTCCCTCATATTCACATCAATTTTCACCTGGATCCCCCCCACAACCATTCATACGATCCCCCCCACAACCATTCATACGATCCCCCCCACAACCATTCATACGATCCCCCCCACAACCATTCATACGATCCCCCCCACAACCATTCATACGATCCCCCCCACAACCATTCATACGATCCCCCCCACAACCATTCATACGATCCCCCCCACAACCATTCATACGATCCCCCCCACAACCATTCATACGATCCCCCCCACAACCATTCATACAATCCCCCCCACAACCATTCATACGATCCCCCCCACAACCATTCATACGATCCCCCCCACAACCATTCATACGATCCCCCCCACAACCATTCATACGATCCCCCCCACAACCATTCATACGATCCCCCCCACAACCATTCATACGATCCCCCCCACAACCATTCATACGATCCCCCCCACAACCATTCATACGATCCCCCCCACAACCATTCATACGATCCCCCCCACAACCATTCATACGATCCCCCCCACAACCATTCATACGATCCCCCCCACAACCATTCATACAATCCCCCCCACAACCATTCATACGATCCCCCCCACAACCATTCATACGATCCCCCCCACAACCATTCATACGATCCCCCCCACAACCATTCATACGATCCCCCCCACAACCATTCATACGATCCCCCCCACAACCATTCATACGATCCCCCCCACAACCATTCATACGATCCCCCCCACAACCATTCATACGATCCCCCCCACAACCATTCATACGATCCCCCCCACAACCATTCATACGATCCCCCCCACAACCATTCATACGATCCCCCCCACAACCATTCATACGATCCCCCCCACAACCATTCATGCGCGTTACATTCAGAGATTTTCTGCCTCCGCAGATCCCATATCTTACTAATATATATATATATATATATATATATATATATATATATATATATATATATTTTCATCTTCTGACCACCCCGTGACCATCTGCAGCCATCCACAGACATCTCAGCTCCACCATCCGATTCGTCCCTCGCTCGGATATCTCAGCTCCACGGATCGTTTGCATCTTATTCATTATAATCATCTCTCATCTTCTGATCACTCTATTGCCATCTGCAGCCGTCCACAGACATCTCAGCTCCACCATCCGATCCGTCCCTCGCTCAACTCGACTCAGAACTCCCGGGTGTGACTATAGGGAGAGTGATTCAACTGGAGCGAGAGCTCGCTGCAGCATCCGCCGCTTCTCCTGCCCTGCCTCCTTCCGCCCCAGCCTCGCCAGCATTGTCCGAACCTGTTACCGAGCCAAACTCGTCCAATGCAGCAACGGGGGAGGTTGAGTCTCCTAGCGTACGAGTTGACTGGTGCGTGTGCTCCTTCTACTCTATCCACCTACCGCTTTCGCCTTCCTCCCTCCTCGTCACCCTTTTGGCTGCTGAAGCTAATTAGAGCCAGGGAGGCAGAGTAGTGTCTCTACTATTAAGCTCCTTAAGCTCACTATTAAGCTCATGCCACATCTCCCTGCCAGGGGCCGTCAGGTATCAAAGAAGCAGCGGCGGTTGGAGGTTCAGAGGGCGAGGCAGGAGGGACGGTGTGTAACTCTCCTCTGGCCCAGTATTGAACTCCAATTCAGAAACCCCTCCACATCTCCCTGCCAGGGGCCGTCAGGTATCAACGAAGCAGCGGCGGTTGGAGGTTCAGAGGGCGAGGCAGGAGGGACGGTGTGTAACTCTCCTCTGGCCCAGTATTGAACTCCAATTCAGAAACCCCTCCACATCTCCCTGCCAGGGGCCGTCAGGTATCAAAGAAGCAGCGGCGGTCGGAGCTTCAGAGGGCGAGGCAGGAGGGACGGTGTGTAACTCTCCTCTGGCCCAGTATTGAACTCCAATTCAGAAACCCCTCCACATCTCCCTGCCAGGGGCCGTCAGGTATCAAAGAAGCAGCGGCGGTTGGAGGTTCAGAGGGCGAGGCAGGAGGGACGGTGTGTAACTCTCCTCTGGCCCAGTTTTGAACTCCAATTCAGAAACCCCTCCACATCTCCCTGCCAGGGGCCGTCAGGTATCAAAGAAGCAGCGGCGGTTGGAGGTTCAGAGGGCGAGGCAGGAGGGACGGTGTGTAACTCTCCTCTGGCCCAGTATTGAACTCCAATTCAGAAACCCCTCCACATCTCCCTGCCAGGGGCCGTCAGGTATCAAAGAAGCAGCGGCGGTTGGAGGTTCAGAGGGCGAGGCAGGAGGGACGGTGTGTAACTCTCCTCTGGCCCAGTATTGAACTCCAATTCAGAAACCCCTCCACATCTCCCTGCCAGGGGCCGTCAGGTATCAAAGATGCAGCGGCGGTCGGAGGTTCAGAGGGCGAGGCAGGAGGGACGGTGTGTAACTCTCCTCTGGCCCAGTATTGAACTCCAATTCAGAAACCCCTCCACATCTCCCTGCCAGGGGCCGTCAGGTATCAAAGAAGCAGCGGCGGTTGGAGGTTCAGAGGGCGAGGCAGGAGGGACGGTGTGTAACTCTCCTCTGGCCCAGTTTTGAACTCCAATTCAGAAACCCCTCCACATCTCCCTGCCAGGGGCCGTCAGGTATCAAAGAAGCAGCGGCGGTTGGAGGTTCAGAGGGCGAGGCAGGAGGGACGGTGTGTAACTCTCCTCTGGCCCAGTATTGAACTCCAATTCAGAAACCCCTCCACATCTCCCTGCCAGGGGCCGTCAGGTATCAAAGAAGCAGCGGCGGTTGGAGGTTCAGAGGGCGAGGCAGGAGGGACGGTGTGTAACTCTCCTCTGGCCCAGTATTGAACTCCAATTCAGAAACCCCTCCACATCTCCCTGCCAGGGGCCGTCAGGTATCAAAGGAGCAGCGGTGGTCGGAGCTTCAGAGGGCGAGGCAGGAGGGGCGGTGCTCGGACAAGGGGGGGGCTGTTCAATTCGTGGCCGTGGGAGGGCGGCTTCCTGGAGGGTTTTTAGCGTGCCCGCCCTTTCCCCTGATCCATCTCCGTTCTCCTCTCTCCCGTCAGGGGTCGCCAGGTATCACAGGAGCAGCGGTGGTCGGAGATTCAGAGGGCAAGGAAGGGGGGCATTGTCTTTATTTCCCGTGACCCAGCTTTTTCCTCTAGTTTTGACTCTCTTCCTCTTCCCATCTCCCTGCCAGGGGTCGTCAGGTATCAAAGGAGCAGCGGCGGTCAGAGCTTCAAAGAGCGAGGGAGCAAGGGCGATGCTCAAGCAAGGGGGGGCTGTTCAACGCGTGGCCGTGGGAGGGGGGCTTCTCGGATGGGTTTCTAGCATGGGAACCACAGCCGGACAAATACATTCTCATGGACTGCCAGCGGAACCAGGTGTGAGTGAGAGGCTGAAGAGAGAGCAAGAGAGAGCAACGTAGAGGGGCGGTACTCGAACCAAAGGGGCGGGCTTCTCTGATGGGTTTGTAGCGTGGGAACCGCAGCCGGACAAATACATTCTCATGGACTGCCAGCGGAACCAGGTGTGTGTGTGTGAGAGGCGTGAGAGGGGAGAGAGCAAGAGAAAGGTCAAGGAAGAGGGGAGATGCACGGCCAGGGTGGGGCTGTTCAACTCGTGGTCCTGGGAGGGCAGCTTCGCGGATGGGGTTCTGGCATGGGAACCGCAGCCTGATAAATACATTCTCATGGACTGCCAGCGGAACCAGGTGCGTGTGTGTGAGAAGCGAGAGAGCGAGAGCGCAAGGAAGGGGGGCGGTGCTCTAACTAGATAAGGCTGTTCAACTCGTGGTGATGGGATGAGGGCTCCTCTGATGGGTTCCTGGCGTGGAAACCACAGCCTGACAAAGTGAAATGAGCCGTGTTTTGAGTCGAATCAAAACATGGGAGCCACAGCCTGACAAAGTGAAATGAGCCGTGTTTTGAGTCGAATCAAAACATGGGAGCCACAGCCTGACAAAGTGAAATGAGCCGTGTTTTGAGTCGAATCAAAGCATGGGAGCCACAGCCTGACAAAGTGAAATGAGCCGTGTTTTGAGTCGAATCAAAGCATGGGAGCCACAGCCTGACAAAGTGAAATGAGCCGTGTTTCGAGTCGAATCAAAACATGGGAGCCACAGCCTGACAAAGTGAAATGAGCCATGTTTTGAGTCGAATCAAAGCATGGGAGCCACAGCCTGACAAAGTGAAATGAGCCGTGTTTTGAGTCGAATCAAAGCACGGGAGCCACAGCCTGACAAAGTGAAATGAGCCGTGTTTTGAGTCGAATCAAAACATGGGAGCCACAGCCTGACAAAGTGAAATGAGCCGTGTTTTGAGTCGAATCAAAACATGGGAGCCACAGCCTGACAAAGTGAAATGAGCCGTGTTTTGAGTCGAATCAAAACATGGGAGCCACAGCCTTACAAAGTGAAATGAGCCGTGTTTTGAGTCGAATCAAAGCATGGGAGCCACAGCCTTACAAAGTGAAATGAGCCGTGTTTTGAGTCGAATCAAAGCATGGGAGCCACAGCCTTACAAAGTGAAATGAGCCGTGTTTTGAGTCGAATCAAAGCATGGGAGCCACAGCCTTACAAAGTGAAATGAGCCGTGTTTTGAGTCGAATCAAAGCATGGGAGCCACAGCCTTACAAAGTGAAATGAGCCGTGTTTTGAGTCGAATCAAAGCATGGGAGCCACAGCCTTACAAAGACTTTCTTTACCGCACGCTTGTTGATCTAGTCTGTAGCCTACCCATTCCTTTGCCACTCACCCCCCCACAAACTACCCCAAATCCCTCAGGTTACTACCCAGTGTTGATCAGGTTACCAAACCCCATTCGCTGCATTCGCAATTACCTAATCGTGGTGGGGGTTCTCATCTACACGCTCGTGGATCTGCCTTCAACCACACTGAGCCGCCTAGCCCTCTCTCCTCTCTCCCTCCTCCCCTCTTCCTCCTCCCCTCTTCCTCCTCCCCTCTTCCTCCTCCCCTCTTCCTCCTCCCCTCTTCCTCCTCCCCCCCACCCGTTATAAGGTCTCCAACCGCATTCGCTGCATTCGAAACTACCTCATAGTGGCAGGGGTGCTCAACCGCACGCTCGTGGCGCCGTTTCGGCCGGAGGAGGTGAACGGCAGCTACGACCGGCGCGTGTTCTTCGATCTCACCCACATGCGCCGCTGCTACGGGCCCCGCACCGTCATCACCCTCGATGAGCTGCTGGCAGAAAGAAGAGCAGCGAGGAGCAGCAACAACAACAACAGCACCAGCACCAGCAGCAGCAGCAGCAGCAGCAGCAGCACAGAAGCAGACATAATAATAACCCAGGTGGTGTGCCCATTCATCAACTGCTACTATCAACCAGGATGGGGCCTACCCACAGTCCTCCCCACTCTTGGAGGGGTCTCATACGAAGCCCTCACTTTCACCGATGCCAACCTGCCTCCAGACCACTCAATCAGCATCACAGATATCAAGAGAATTGGGGATTTGATTTTCCCGTCGGCCGATGTGATTGCAATGGGGGATCTTGGGTCTTCGTTGTTCGATGAGACTTTTCACAGGGAGATTGACGTGCCGTTTTTTCGGCGCCCGGGCTGCCCGAATAAACTGGCGATTCAGCCCCACCCGGCGATCTTCGAAGCTGCCAGCCGGTTTGTATCAGATGTGCTTTTAAAGGGGATGAATAGCAGTGCAGAGAGCAGCAGGGAAGGGGAGGAGCACGGCAGTAGTATAGCAGCTGAGAGCACTCTACCATCAGTACTTGCTGCTGCCAGTGGGGGTAGCACTAATACCAGTACCAACAGTAGCAGTGAGACTGTGGGGAAGCATCATCGCTACATGGCGATTCACTGGCGGCGAAAGGACCTGGTTACCAGCTTTCAGGACTCAGGCTCCCATCTCACCATCAACCGCACCGCCAGATGCATTGCCGACCGCATGGCCAAATCCGGCAACCTCACCACCGTTTTCCTAGCCACTGACGCCGAACCTGCAGAGGTGGCGGAGTTAACCGGAGCTGTTTTGTCCCACAGGTTGGACCTGCGGCTGATGCAGCTTCCGCCGAACCTGGACGCGCAGGCTTTGGCGCAGGTGCTGGTGCCGTACCGGTTTGAGCATCCGGGGGTGGTGCGGGTGACGTTGGACAAGGCGGTGTGTGCGCTAGCAGACGTGTTTCTTGGGACGGCTGCGTCGTCTTTTAGTGAGGACATTCAGCGAATCCGGACTGGGTTGAGAGTGGCCACATGTGAAGACCAGGTGTTATGTGAAGATGAGCTATAGAAATGCTTTTTAGATTAGACTATGCTAGGAGATTCAGTGTCAGCTACGCAGTGGTATGGTACGGTATGTACTCACTTCGAATCAGCTGCGAGCTGTCTTCCCCTGATGACAATTTTTGGCATAAATGGAGTGGTGGCGGGTGGGACTTGCCAGGTGATGAGTCACTTCAAATGGGCTAGGTGGCATGACTACCCATGCCATGCCCTGCTTTTTATCAGACTTTCTAAATTGGTCATGCATAATGTGTAAGTGTCTCTAAGGCACTCCATTGGTTTGCTTCCTGGAACTTGGTGTTGTAACAAGGCTCACTCCAGTCTTAGGGGTGGGAATGAAAGAGCTTCAATGAACAAGACATTATTAGACTTCCACACCAAAACATCTAGTATATCCGCAAGGGTATATCCGCAATGAACAAGGCATATCCGCAAGGGTATGCAAAAGTTTCTCGCAGAGAATGTAGATGTGTTGCAGTTTTTCAAAGCCTTGCCAGAACCACCAGCCGGCCCAGCACCACATCAGTGCCATGTCAGTGTGAGTTGCAAGTCAATTTGAGTCAACGGCAGTGAAGAGGTCTGTGCCGCGTGACTCATCTCCTGGCAGAGTTGCTTCGAACAGCGCCCGCTTTTCCACAGCCTCCAGCTTCTCACCCCACCAAGTCAACTCAAGTCAACCAAGGTCAATCAGCAGTCAACAGGCGCGTCCATGAGTGCCTTAGCCACATCACTCATCTCCGGCCGGGCCTCCACCTTTCGGGTCTGCCGACACGACACACTGCTTCGCCACGGCTTCCAGCATCCTATCCCACCAGTGCCAAGTCAACCCAAGTCAACGCAAGTCCATGCAAGTCAATCAGTGAGAGGCACGGACATGAGAGCTTGTGCCACGTCACTCATCTCTGGCCGGTCCTCCTTGTGCCGGGCCGGGCGGCACACTGCTTTGCCACAGCTGCCAGCATTCCATGCCATCAGTGCCAAGTCAACCCGGGTCAACGGAAGTCAACGGTGGTCAATCGACAAGAGGCACGGACATGAGAGCTTGTGCCACGTCACTCATCTCTGGCCGGTCCTCCTTGTGCCGGGCGGCACACTGCTTTGCCACGGCTGCCAGCATCTTGGCGCCCCGGCGAGAGAACCTGCCCTGCAGGTTCGGGTCGATCCAAGCTTCAGGCTCGGTGACGTTGGGGTGCAGGTGCGGCCCCATCCACGCCACTAGCTTCACGTTTCCTTCTTTGGAAACAGCATCGCGGCCTGTGAGCATCTGAAGGGGAATGAGAGGGAGGGAGAGAGGCGGAGAGGTGAATTTGAGTGTCAACTTAGAACCAACCGAATGCCATCCGAGCCACGAGCTTCACGTTTCCTTCCTTGGAAACAGCATCGCGGCCTGTGAGCATCTGTCAGGAGTAGTGGAGAAGATGTGGGGAAAGGAGGGGGGGAACGGTGCAGAGGAATGGAGACGGTTTTTGAGACGTTTCAAAATAGGAGTGGAGGGAAAGATGAGGTGGGAGAATGGAAGAGTAGAGGTGAAAGGGTTCCATCCAAGCCATGAAATTCACGCCACCTTTGATGGAAACAACAGCGTGTGTTTTGAGTCGACTCAAAACACACACGGTTTTTGAGACGTTGGAGGGAAATGTGAGGTGGGAGAATGGAAGAGTACAGGTGAAAGGGTTCCATCCAAGCCATGAAATTCACGCCGCCTTTGATGGAAACAACAGCGTCCCGGCCTGTGAGCATCTGATGGGGGGGTTGAGGGGAAGAAGAGAGGCGGAGACAATAGTGTTAACACTAAAGGTGTGGTGCGAACACTAATGTCTCCGCCTCTCTTCTTCCCCTCAAATCATTGGTCTGCCTCTATTGGGGATTTCCTCGAGGGAATACACGTCTCGCAGACACCAAGTCTCCATGTATGCAGGGTCCAGTCATGGTACCCCATGGTGCCCATCACACACGTCGACATGTGGCTCACACTGCTCTATGCTGCACGCACCCTCGCCTATTCCCCCCATGCACCCATGGACCGCACCGTACCTTTTTGAGAATTCTCAAAAAACATACGCTTATAGCAGGATAACACCTAGCGAGCACTCATCGCTCTTGTCTCGCACACATCCCGTCTCGCAAACGTCTTGTATTCAGGGTGCAGGTTCCCCATGGTGCCTATCAAAAACAGGAGCATGCTTGCTACACGACACAGTCACTGGTCATGAAGAGCTGCAGCGTGAAGGATCGCTTTAGCAAAGAACGATAGTCACTTGTTGGAAAATAGTAACCCTGTAAAAAATTAGAGTAGGAACCGAAAGCACAGCTCTGTTCAAAACTCTGACTTAGGCAAACGTCTTGTATTCAGGGTGCCGGTTGCCCATGGTGCCTATCAAAAACAGGGTGCTCACCCTGTGTGATCAAAAACAGGAGCATGCTTGCTACACTACACAGTGCCCATCACACAAGCCGAGCCGAGAAGGGGCTCACACTGCTCTATGATGCGCGTACCCTTTTAGAAGGGCTAGACATACCCTCAGACACATCGCTCCCTTTTAGCAAGATAACTCCAAGGAAGCACACATCGCTCTTGTCCCTCAGACACCCCGTCTCCATGTATTCAGGGTCCAGGTACCCCATGCTGCCCACCACACTCGCTCCTCTAGCACGCTTGCTACATCGGTACGACGACAAATGAAAAGCATACCTGTAACAAGATGACTCCGAGCGAATATACATCGCTCTTGTCCCTGAGACACCCCGTCTCCATGTACTCAGGGTCCAGGTACCCCATGGTGCCCATCACGTGCGTTGAGATGTGGCTCACACTGCTCTATGCTGCACACATTCACATGCCCACCTCCTCTCATTACACCCATGAACCATACCTGTAACAGGATAACTCCAAGTGAGTACACATCACTTTTATCTCTCAGACACCCCGTCTACATGTACTCAGGGTCCAGATACCCCATGGTGCCCATCACACCCATTGAGATGTGGCTCACACTGCTGCACACACACCCATGCCTACCTCCTCTCACTACACCCATGAACCATACCTGTAACAAGATAACTCCGAGTGAATAGACGTCGCTCTTGTCCCTCAGACACCCCGTCTCCATGTATTCGGGGTCCAGGTACCCCATGGTGCCCATCACACGTGTCGAGATGTGGCTCACACTGCTGGCTGACTGCTTCGCCATGCCGAAGTCTGTGATGCGCGCTTGCATGTCCTGGGGGAAGGGGGAGGGTGGAGGGAAGGGTTGTAGGGGAGGGAACGGGGGGGAGGTGGAGTTGGGGTGTGTGGTATATGTGCGGCTCACACTGCTGGCTGACTGCTTCGCCATGCCGAAGTCTGTGATGCGCGCTTGCATGTCCTGCGGGGTGGGAGGGTGGAGGGGAGGGGGGTAAGGGAGGGAGGGAACCCGGGGGAAGTGGAGTGGGGGGTTGCGGCAAAAGTGGGAGGTGTATAAAGTGAATTTTTGAGACGTCTCAAAAATTCACTTTATACATGAGGTGTGTGGTACATGTGTGGCTCACACTGCTGGCCGACTGCTTCGCCATGTCAAAGTCTGTAATGCGCGCTTGCATGTCCCTACCTTGTACTGTTGTACAGCAGGATGTTGGAGGATTCTCAAAAGTGATTTCAGCACGTCCCTACCTTGTACATCAGGATGTTGGATGTCTTCAGGATGTTGGAGGGCTTAACGACCCGGTGGATGACCCTGTCTGTTCTCGTCTCGAGCACATGCAGCAACCCAACCCCTGCGCTGCTCCCTCTCAGGCTCATGTCATTCCTTCCCAGGTGCACTCAGCGCCTATACCTCGACCGATGAGGTTATTTATGCAAGGGTTTCAGTCCCTACCTTATCCAGTAAGATGTTGGAGGGCTTTAAGTCGCGGTGAATGACCTTGTTCTCATGCACATGCAGCAACCCCTGCGCTGCTCCCTCTCAGGCGCTTCCAGCCTTCCCACCTTGCCTTGCCCAGTCAAATATTGCGCGGTCCTGAGCTGACTTCTTACCTTATCCAATAAGATGTTGGAGGGCTTTAAGTCGCGGTGAATGACCTTGTTCTCGTGCAGGTGCAGCAGCCCCTGCGCTGCTCCCTGCGCTACCCGCACGCGTGTGGGCCAGTCAATGATGTCACTCTCTCGCCCTGTGTGCATGCATGCACGGGAGGGGTGAGAGAGGAGAAGGAAAAAATGAGAGAAGAAGGAAATGGGAGGACAAGAGGAGAGATGGAAGGACGAGAGGGGAAGGAACACTGAGATGAGACAGATGCCCGTTCAGCTACCCGCACGCGTGTGGGCCAGTTAATTATGCCAGCCTCCCACCCTGCATGTGCGCACGTGAGCGGTGAGAGTGGTGAAGGAGAACGCAAAGAGCCACGTGTGGGTGGGCTAGTGCCCTTGTCACCCACGCTAGTGCCAATCAATGCTCTGCCCTTGTCACCCACGCTAGTGCCAATCAATGCTCTGCCCTTGTCACCCACGCTAGTGCCAATCAATGCTCTGCCCTTGTCACCCACGCTAGTGCCAGTCAATGCTCTGCCCTTGTCACCCACGCTAGTGCCAGTCAATGCTCTGCCCTTGTCACCCACGCTAGTGCCAGTCAATGCTCTGCCCTTGTCACCCACGCTAGTGCCAGTCAATGCTCTGCCCTTGTCACCCACGCTAGTGCCAGTCAATGCTCTGCCCTTGTCACCCACGCTAGTGCCAGTCAATGCTCTGCCCTTGTCACCCACGCTAGTGCCAGTCAATGCTCTGCCCTTGTCACCCACGCTAGTGCCAGTCAATGCTCTGCCCTTGTCACCCACGCTAGTGCCAGTCAATGCTCTGCCCTTGTCACCCACGCTAGTGCCAGTCAATGCTCTGCCCTTGTCACCCACGCTAGTGCCAGTCAATGCTCTGCCCTTGTCACCCACGCTAGTGCCAGTCAATGCTCTGCCCTTGTCACCCACGCTAGTGCCAGTCAATGCTCTGCCCTTGTCACCCACGCTAGTGCCAGTCAATGCTCTGCCCTTGTCACCCACGCTAGTGCCAGTCAATGCTCTGCCCTTGTCGCCTTGTGTGATGAGATGAGCACGAGGAGAGGGACGGAAGGGGCAAGCACGGGTGAGAAAAAATGTACTTCCAAGCTATCCGCACCCTTAGGGGGTGTGTGATTTAAGGGTTTAAGCTAAGTTTATGTTTTTGACTCGATTTAAGCAGGGTTTCAAAACGTGAACTTGACTCGACTTTGAGCGATGGCAATGTTCGAACCGCGGGTGACAATGCTTGTAGATTCACAATCACACACGTAGGTGCGAATTTGCAAGTTCGAAACTACAGGGGGGGGGACCGAGCCGCATATTGGGACTGTAGGTTACCCGGTTTCAATCACTTGACAGCGCGACACGTCACCGAAGCGCTGCTAAAAAAAGTGCACGCTAGACCTCCAGCTCGGCTTCGCCCAAGGGACAGTTCAGCACACTACAAATATCCGCCGGGTGAGAAGCGCACACGACACGCCATCGTGCCACGACGCATGCCACGTGGTGGGCCTAGCGCGATGGGCTATGGGCTGGGTCTTGAATGTGACTCCATTGGTGCACGAATGAATCGCGAGGTTCGCTGAAACCTCGTACGTGCCTGACATAACAAAAGTTCGGTTCATGGAGGTTGACAAAGTTTGTGAATATATTCGAATCTTGTTCACATTTGTAGGTTCGCACTTGAGTCAACATTGGCGAAACTTGCTGCGAAAATTGGCGAAACTGGTTACCACATAAAGTTCGACCCTGATTATGAACTCCAAAAAAAATCACACACCCCCTTATCTGTGGTTCGTTGCATGTAACGGCATCAAGCCTGTGTATGTGCGTGTGCATGTGTGCATGCACTGCGTACGATGCATGTTGTGGGGCATAGCCCGTACAGCAGCAGCGCCTTGCCACTGGCATGTGCATCCATGAGTGCATCGGGGAATGCCATCCACTCACGGGGGAACAATCGGTCGTCCACGCTCCCATTGGGACGCAGCCCATACACCAGCAGCAGCGCCTCGCCCCTGGCATGTGCGCATGTGTGCATACAGAGCATATGTGTGGAGGCATGTGTGTACGTGTGCATGGGCGCATGACACTCACGGGGAAACAACCGGTCGTCCAGGCTCCCATTGGGGCACAACCCATAGACCAGCAGCGCCTCGCTCTTCTCAGCACAGTAGCCTATGAGCTCCACCAGATTGGGGTGGTGCAGCTTCCTTAGTAACACTATCTCCGCCTGTGGGAAAAGAGGAGGGGCGGGGTTGGGGGGGACGACAATAGGGACAAAGTGTTGGAAGGGAAGGGAAAGGCGACAGGGAGTCACAGCGTGCCTTGCCCTTCTCGGCACCCACCAGGCAGGGAGACACAGTAGCCTATCAGCTCGACCAAGTTGGGGTGATGCAGCTTCCTCAGAAGCACTATCTCTGCCTGTGGGGAGACCAGTAACACATTCTCCGCCTGCAAGGGAGGGCACGAGCAGGAACAGAGAGCAGGACAGGGTGGCATGAGGGCCAACAAGTGAGTGGCACAGTCCATACACCAGCAGCGCCTCCTCGCCCTTCTCCGAAGAGTAGCCTATCAACTCCACCAGGTTGGGGTGGTGCAGCTTCCTTAATAGCACTATCTCCGCCTGTGAGGGAAGGAGAAGGGGAGGGAAGACAACAAAAGAGACAACAGTTGGGAGGGTAGGGAAAGACGGCATGGAGTGCTTGTGAGTGATTTTTGAGAACTCTCAAAAATCACTCACAAGGAGTCACAATAGCCTATCAACTCCACTAGATTGGAGTGAACTACCTAAGCAGCACTGTCTCCGCCTGCGCGGCATGAGAGGGCAGAGCGGAAGGGGTAGGTAGGAGACAGGAGGAGTTGGAGAAGAGAAAGTGATGACATCTGGGAGTTATAACTTTCTCTTCTCAAAGTGGTGAGTTACTTTCTCACTGGTAGCCAATCAGCTCCACCAGGTTGGGGTGGTGCAGCTTTCTTAAGAGCACTATCTCCGCCTGCAAGAGAAGGTGGGGTGGGGAGGGGGGGGGGGGGAATGGGGCCCGTGAGAGAGTGAGCGCCTATCAGCTCCACCTGGTTGGGGTGGTGCAGCTTCCCCAGATACACCTCGTCAAGGTTGCCACTCCCCATAGGTGAACGGCCTATTCTGAAAACCAGCGCAACACAATCCCACTCACCAGCGGGTTCAGTTTCTTAACAGCAACTTCCACCACCTCCTTGCTCTCCTTCCCCCCCAGTTTCCCTGCAGTTATCCGGGCGTAAAAAACAGCCCCAATTCACTCACCAGCCATTCATGAAGCCCCTGTGAACTTTCCGGATTCAGCCTTTTAACAGCCACTTCCACCACCTCCTTGCTCTCCTTCCCGCCCAGCTTCCCCAGATGTACCTCCCCAGATTCCCCAGCTCCCCGGGTGCACCTCCCCTGAGCTGCCATGCCCCATAATACCCACTCACCAGCCACTCGTCCAGCCCCTGTGAACTTTCTGGGTTGAGCTGTTTCACTGCCACTTCCACCACCTCCTTGCTCTCCTTCCCGCCCAGCTTCCCCAAACACACTTCCCCGAAGCACACCCGCCCCATAATGCCCTGTGTAATACAACAACCAGCACAGCACAATCCCATCCAACTCACCAGCCACTCGTCCAGCGCTTGAGAACTCTCCGGATTCAGCTTTTTCACCGCCACCTCCACCACCTCCTTGCTCTCATTCCCGCCCAGCTTCCCTGCACCCACTCGCCCTGCCCCTGTAACACGACTCAGCAGCACTCACCGGCCATTCGTCCAGCCCTTGAGAACTCTGAGGTGACTTTTGAGTCAACTCAAAAGGTGGCTTTTGACTTTTGAGTCGACTCAAAAGTCCCCTGCCCCTGTAACACGACTCAGCAGCACTCACCAGCCATTCGTCCAGCCCTTGAGAACTCTGAGGTGACTTTTGATTCAACTCAAAAGGTGGCTTTTGACTTTTGAGTCAACTCAAAAGGTGGCTTTTGACTTTTAAGTCGACTCAAAAGTCCCCTGCCCCTGTAACACGACTCAGTAGCACTCACCAGCCATTCGTCCAGCCCCTGTGAACTTTCTGGGTTCAGCTTCTTCACCGCCACCTCCACCACCTCCTTGCTCTCCTTCCCACCCAGCTTCCCCAGATACACCTCCCCAAAGCTGCCCCGCCCCAGCACCGCCTTCTTGCTAAAAGACGACGTCGCCGCCCGCAGCTCGTGCAGCCGGAACTTGCGGGCGGCGCCCCGCCCGTCCTTGGACCCAGACGACATCGACTGGGCGGCGGAGAGGCCGGCAGAGCTGGTGGAGGTGGCATCTGAGGTGGCTGCTTCTAACCTTGGGTTGCCTGGGAGGGGAGGGTACAGGGGGACAGGGGAGGGTACAGGGGGGCAGGGGAGGGTACAGGGGGGCAGGGGAGGGGAGGGGCTGGGCTGTGATTTTGGGCGCATCGGCAATGGAGTTGGTGGAGGTGGCATCTGAGGTGGTTGCTTCTAACCTCGGGTTGCCTGTGCCGAGAGGGTAGGGTAGGGTAGGGTAGGGGGACAGGGGAGGGTAGGGGGACAGGGGAGGGTAGGGGGACAGGGGAGGGTAGGGGGACAGGGGAGGGTACAGGGGGACAGGGGAGGGTAGGGGGACAGGGGAGGGTAGGGGGACAGGGGAGGGTAGGGGGACAGGGGAGGGTAGGGGGACAGGGGAGGGTAGGGGGACAGGGGAGGGTAGGGGGACAGGGGAGGGTAGGGGGACAGGGGAGGGTAGGGGCAGAGCGGGGTTGGGGAAGGGAGGGGAGGGGCGGGGTGGGGTTGGGGCGCATCAGCAATGGAGTTGGTGGAGGTGGCATCTGAGGTGGTTGCTTCTAACCTAGGGTTGCCTACAAAGGCACATGTTGGGAAGCAAGGGTGGGGAGAGGGGGAGGAAGGGGAGGGGGAGAACGAGGGTTAGTTGAGGGGAGAGCGGGGTGGAGGGGCGAAAAAGGGTGGCAGAGTTGGTGGAGGTGGCATCTGAGGTGGTTGGGTCGGGTCTGATCTAGGGTTGCCTGTGAGGAGAGGAGGACACACAGTTGGGGAGTGGCGGGTGCAGTGGAGGTGAAAGGGAGAGAGATGGTTTTCCAAGGGGAGGGGGAAGGTCGGCAGAATTGGTGGAGGTGGCACCTGAGGTGGTTGTTTCTAACCTAGGGTTCCCTGTGCGGACACATGTTGGGGAGCGGCGGGAGGAAAGGGGGGGAAGGGGAGGGGGAGAAAGAGGGTTTCCCGAAGGGCGGGGGGGGGGGGGGGAGGAAAAGGGTGGGGGGGAGGGGGGGGGGTCGGGGGGGGAAAAGGGGCGCCAGAGGAGGTGGACGCGGGATCTGAGGCAGTTGGTTCTAATCCAGGGTTCCCTGTGCAAACGCACGTTGGGAAGGAGGGCATGGGAAGGGGAGCATGGGAAGGAGGGCATGGGAAGGGGAGCATGGGAAGGAGGGCATGGGAAGGGGAGCATGGGAAGGAGGGCATGGGAAGGGGAGCATGGGAAGGAGGGCATGGGAAGGGGAGCATGGGAAGGAGGGCATGGGAAGGGGAGCATGGGAAGGGGAGCATGGGAAGGAGGGCATGGGAAGGGGAGCATGGGAAGGAGGGCATGGGAAGGGGAGCATGGGAAGGAGGGCATGGGAAGGGGAGCATGGGAAGGAGGGCATGGGAAGGGGAGCATGGGAAGGAGGGCATGGGAAGGGGAGCATGGGAAGGAGGGCATGGGAAGGGGAGCATGGGAAGGAGGGCATGGGAAGGGGAGCATGGGAAGGAGGGCATGGGAAGGGGAGCATGGGAAGGAGGGCATGGGAAGGGGAGCATGGGAAGGAGGGCATGGGAAGGGGAGCATGGGAAGGAGGGCATGGGAAGGGGAGCATGGGAAGGGGAGCATGGGAAGGAGGGCATGGGAAGGGGAGCATGGGAAGGAGGGCATGGGAAGGGGAGCATGGGAAGGGGAGCATGGGAAGGAGGGCATGGGAAGGGGAGCATGGGAAGGAGGGCATGGGAAGGGGAGCATGGGAAGGAGGGCATGGGAAGGGGAGCATGGGAAGGAGGGCATGGGAAGGGGAGCATGGGAAGGAGGGCATGGGAAGGGGAGCATGGGAAGGGGAGCATGGGAAGGAGGGCATGGGAAGGGGAGCATGGGAAGGAGGGCATGGGAAGGGGAGCATGGGAAGGGGAGCATGGGAAGGAGGGCATGGGAAGGGGAGCATGGGAAGGAGGGCATGGGAAGGGGAGCATGGGAAGGAGGGCATGGGAAGGGGAGCATGGGAAGGAGGGCATGGGAAGGGGAGCATGGGAAGGAGGGCATGGGAAGGGGAGCATGGGAAGGAGGGCATGGGAAGGGGAGCATGGGAAGGAGGGCATGGGAAGGGGAGCATGGGAAGGAGGGCATGGGAAGGGGAGCATGGGAAGGAGGGCATGGGAAGGGGAGCATGGGAAGGAGGGCATGGGAAGGGGAGCATGGGAAGGAGGGCATGGGAAGGGGAGCATGGGAAGGAGGGCATGGGAAGGGGAGCATGGGAAGGAGGGCATGGGAAGGGGAGCATGGGAAGGAGGGCATGGGAAGGGGAGCATGGGAAGGAGGGCATGGGAAGGGGAGCATGGGAAGGAGGGCATGGGAAGGGGAGCATGGGAAGGAGGGCATGGGAAGGGGAGCATGGGAAGGAGGGCATGGGAAGGGGAGCATGGGAAGGAGGGCATGGGAAGGGGAGCATGGGAAGGAGGGCATGGGAAGGGGAGCATGGGAAGGAGGGCATGGGAAGGGGAGCATGGGAAGGAGGGCATGGGAAGGGGAGCATGGGAAGGAGGGCATGGGAAGGGGAGCATGGGAAGGTGGGCATGGGAAGGGGAGCATGGGAAGGAGGGCATGGGAAGGGGAGCATGGGAAGGAGGGCATGGGAAGGGGAGCATGGGAAGGAGGGCATGGGAAGGGGAGCATGGGAAGGAGGGCATGGGAAGGGGAGCATGGGAAGGAGGGCATGGGAAGGGGAGCATGGGAAGGAGGGCATGGGAAGGGGAGCATGGGAAGGAGGGCATGGGAAGGGGAGCATGGGAAGGAGGGCATGGGAAGGGGAGCATGGGAAGGAGGGCATGGGAAGGGGAGCATGGGAAGGAGGGCATGGGAAGGGGAGCATGGGAAGGAGGGCATTGGAAGGGGAGCATGGGAAGGAGGGCATGGGAAGGGGAGCATGGGAAGGAGGGCATGGGAAGGGGAGCATGGGAAGGAGGGCATGGGAAGGGGAGCATGGGAAGGAGGGCATGGGAAGGGGAGCATGGGAAGGAGGGCATGGGAAGGGGAGCATGGGAAGGAGGGCATGGGAAGGGGAGCATGGGAAGGAGGGCATGGGAAGGGGAGCATGGGAAGGAGGGCATGGGAAGGGGAGCATGGGAAGGAGGGCATGGGAAGGGGAGCATGGGAAGGAGGGCATGGGAAGGGGAGCATGGGAAGGAGGGCATGGGAAGGGGAGCATGGGAAGGAGGGCATGGGAAGGGGAGCATGGGAAGGAGGGCATGGGAAGGGGAGCATGGGAAGGAGGGCATGGGAAGGGGAGCATGGGAAGGAGGGCATGGGAAGGGGAGCATGGGAAGGAGGGCATGGGAAGGGGAGCATGGGAAGGAGGGCATGGGAAGGGGAGCATGGGAAGGAGGGCATGGGAAGGGGAGCATGGGAAGGAGGGCATGGGAAGGGGAGCATGGGAAGGAGGGCATGGGAAGGGGAGCATGGGAAGGAGGGCATGGGAAGGGGAGCATGGGAAGGAGGGCATGGGAAGGGGAGCATGGGAAGGAGGGCATGGGAAGGGGAGCATGGGAAGGAGGGCATGGGAAGGGGAGCGGAGAGGGTGGGGGGGAGTTTTGAAAGTCTTAAAAGTCAAGGTGGCCGGTTCTGATCTTCAAGGGGGAGAGGGGGGAGAGGGGGAAGAGGGGGGAAGAGGGGACGGGGAAGACGGGACGGGGAAGAGGGAGAAAAGGCTACCTATTTAAGGCGCCTCCAAAGAGGAGTTGGGGTACGAGTGGTTTCTGAGGGGATTGGTTTCAAATTAGGGTTTCCTGTGCGAACACACGTTGGGAGGCTGGTGGGAGCGGCGGGGTGGGAAGGGGAAAGGTGGGGAGGGGCAGGGATGGGGGAAAGGGAAGGTGGGGACGATCGCCGTCGAAGGGAGGGGTTGGGGACGGCAGGGGAAGGGGGTTGAGGGGGGAGGGGGGGGGGGGGGGGAGATGGTGGGGGAAGAGGGGAGGAGAATTCAGATGCTTTTGAGTCGACTCAAAAGCAGGGGTTGAGGGGGGGAGATGGTGGGGGAAGAGGGGAGGAGAATTCAGATGGGAAGAGGGTGGAGGGGAAGAGGAGAAAGGTGATGGAGACGTGGGTGGGAGGTGGAAAGGTGGGGGTTGGAAAGGTGGGGGTTGGAAAGGTGGGGGTTGGAAAGGTGGGGGTTGGAAAGGTGGGGGTTGGAAAGGTTAATGCAGACATAGCAGCCCTCTCTACCTGTTGCGACACCAGCTGCTGCGTGCCCCACAGGCACGCTCTGAAGTGCTGCAAACCCCCCACCACCTCTGCCGTACTACAAAGATGGGGTTAGATTCAACCGGAACGCACCAGGGAGGAAGGGAGCAAACCAGCCATTCGTACCTGTTGTGACACCTGCTGCTGCGTGCCCCACAGGCACGCTTTGAGATGCTGCCAACCCACCACCACCTCCGCCGTACCCATCCCCCTCTCCTCCCCCTCTTCCGTTCCCTCTCCCTACCGCCCCCCCCTGCCTCTCCGCTCCCCTTCCCCACCCTCCTCCCCCTCCGCCCCCTCTTCCCCCGTCGTTAGACACGGCCTTAGCTCCTCTCCCCACCCCTTTCCCCCTCCCCGCTCCTCTTCTAAACTTCCCCCCTCCGCCCGCCAGCCCTCCTTCCCCTGCTCCGTTACCCTCCGCCTCGTTCCCATCCCCAGCTCCCCGCGGCGTTCGTGGCGAAAACCCTGTCGCGTAACGCTGGTTACCACCAGGGCTGGAGGCGACGGAATGAGCGCGGGATCTGGGCGTGGTGGATGTGACATTACCGAAGGGCGAACTGGGCGCGCTCTCTGCAATCACCTCCACCGATAAGCACCCTCCCATGAGCCTTTTCCGGTGCGCACCCGGATAATATGACCGTTAGAGAAGCCACTGTTAGGTCAAGCAATCGCCGTCGCCGCCACAGCCACCGTCGCTGCTGCTGCTGCTGCTCCTGATCCTGCTGCTGCTGCTGCTGCTGTTGTTGCTGCTGCTCCTAGCGAGCCTAGACCGGGCAGTCGAAGCGAAAACGGCGGCTGGAAAGGCTCACACTGCTGACAAATAAGAGACGCAGCTGACCCGGAAAGATGGATTTATTTAGTAGATTAACATGGAAAGGACACCTGAGGGCACGGCATCTGAGGACGAGGCATCGGTCGGCGTTGGTAGACAACTTTGTGACGCGATAGCGAAGACATTATGATGCGGACCCGTCAGGCGGCGAACGAATTCGAATGCGGAACAAGTTACCAAAGTCGTCGAGCCGTAGGGCTTTCGCTTAGACCACGATGATGCCGGCCTATGAGGTCACATAATACAACGCAGTCACGTCGCGAATCCCCTAAGGCTCGAACTCGCAAGAGACGATTATAAATCAGTCAACCACGCCTCCTAGGGGTTGTGATAATAACGAAAGTGCCATTAAGAACAATAATATGGTGAATAGAAGTGCTACTGCCTTGGCAGCGCTGCAGGCTCCTACGCAACCTCTGTCGGCAATGCCCTTCACGAGAATGAGGGGGTTCGAATGCTCGAGCGGAAAGAGAGCGCCTCGAGGGTAGACTAGGCCTATAGACTCAGGGTGACCTCAGGGTGACAGGAGTTTGTGTAAGCGAGTCACCTTGGCTCCTGCTGCGACGCAGACTGCGGGAAAAGCTGATGGCTCTGGTCTGGACATGCGAAATGAAACGAAACAGACGCGGTAAAATGACACGCACGAACCAGTACGAGGCAATGATCGAATACTGTACAGTGGTGAAGTGGAGACTTGTCCTAAATGTGTGGAAAATGGAAGGTTGTGAGACAGGGTTCAGGAAACAAGGTTCTAGTGGGTTCAGTGCATTTCCGCAATGTCTCGCAGGGGCGGAGTTCATATCAGCCACGAACCCCCAAACCACACGAGCAGGGCCCAACAACCACTGTTCCGAACATCTCATCGCAATTCGGTCGTCACAACCGATTTGCCAGTGTCGTCGACGGGGGTCGTCGGAGCCGGGCCTGACGAGGCGGGCGACTGCTGCGCGTGTGGGCCCGCCAGCCTGGCCCAGGGCTGGGCCGAGCGCACGACCGCCGCCCCGCAGCCCCGCTCCGAACGTGAACAGCAACCCACGTTACCGGGTGGGGTCGGCGAACTGGCGACCCCTCGCGCGAGGGAAAGTTACCCTCGCGCGAAGGCAGCCCACTCGTGCCACCTGCCCGCGAGGTCCTAGTAACCCATCGCGGCCTGCCCGGACGGGCAGGCGACGGCCCAGCGAAAATTCGGGGCCCCCCTCGGGACGCTCGACAGTTTCGCGACCCGCTGCGGTGCCGCCACGTGTTCGCCCGTGGGCTCGCATCGTGCGCATGCGAAATTTCGACCAATGCGAAATTGAAACCACTCGCATCGTATGCGCGATATCATCACGAGCCGCTACGAATTCGACACGTGTCGACCGAAGATGAGCTCCGCGCACATGCGAATTTGCGTCCCCTCGCCGACCTGTGCCAATTGACGCGAAGTCGACGCTCTGCCAAGGCGGAGACGGACGACCCGTGCCACTTGCGCGGGCGCCCTCCGAGCCCTGCCGAGCCAGGCCCCACACCCTTGGGCGATACTGAACGGGCCTGCGGTGGGGCACCACCTCCTTTTCTTTCGCTCCTCATTTTCCTCATTTTCTCGTTTCGATCTTCGGACGTTGCTAGCTCTGCCCCCCCCCCCCCCCCCCCCCCCCCCCAAATCCGTGCTATCGTTCCTTCCTTAGCCGTCGGCGTCTTCCCTTAGTCGATATGGAGCCGAGCCCCGACGCCGATAAGTCGGCGCCGACTTCGGCTGACTTTCCTCTTCGTCACCGCATGGGTCGCGGTCTCAGCTTCACTTTCGAGTGGGACGACTTCGACGTCCTTCGCGACCACAAGAAGGAGTTCAACGAGAGATGCTTGGGGTTCGGCATCAGGTGGGACTCGAGTAGTCGCGGTGGGCGAATAGGGTAGATGTCGGCGCCGACTAAACTCTAGAATGGCGCATAGGGTAAATGTCGGCGCCGTTGGGGGACGCATTGTCGCCAGTTGTCGGCGGACTGTCGCCGGCGTACGCGGTATTAGGCACAGACCCCGTCCAGGGACGTCGACCACGTACACTAGGCGTTTGACGTTCGGTAGACGTCGACCTGGTAGCGTTTGCTCAACCTCCCTTATATCATCCCTCATGCCCAATCGTGCGATCAGATACGCTTGGTTTCGCATTGGGCTAGACGACCAGCGGTTGTTGGTAATCGGAGTTGGCCCGCTTCGATCGGTTATGAAGGCCGCCGACCATTTTTGCTTTGCTACGGTTTTCGACGCCGACATCGCCACGATCCCGTTAAGAACGACGTGAGCCGTTTCCCCGATGTCCGGTTATCGTTTTGTGTGGTAGGTCGCATCGTCGCCTAATGTTGTGATCGACGCCGTCGTGTATTGCATGTGCAGAGGCGGTCCGCTTCCATGATCACACTGTAGCGTCATAGCCATCCTCTACCCAGGAGATCTGCTGAAGGCTGAGGGACAGGTGTGCAGGACCTCGATCTGGCACATCGACCCGCAGACCGGTAAACTGGTCCACCGCGACGAGGCCGTCCGCGTGCTGAAGTAAGTTGTGAATAGTCGTCGATGTCCCGCTTGTTAGTCGCCGACACAAGGTATCACGTACTGACCGCCTCCTTTCACCACGTTGCTCCAGGTTATTCCGCACGGCTGTCCTGGCCGAGCTGGGGCGTCCCGGTAGGAAGTGGGACGGGGCGCCGCCATCACAAGCAGTGGTGGAGGAAAGGCTTGCCGACTGCGACGACCCTATCCACGATGTGAGTTGCACGTTTGAGCATTAAGGAAGGTGCACGTTTCTGTATGCTCCGCTCATGATGTTCCCCGCTTGCCCGTGTTGTACGCAGAAAGTGCCGGACACAGTGTCGGACGGGCATGTCGGCACCGGCATGCTTGCCGCGACGTCGTTCGGGTGGATGGCGAAGCACATTGACATGCTGACGGGCGAGAAGGGCCGTAGTGGGGTGAGCATCGAGAACATCAAGACAAAGGGGCTGAAGGGTTTGCGAGACAACATGGTGGAGTACATCTGCAAGCGCGTCGCCGAAAAACGCTCTGCAGCGCCGACTTCACAAGCTGTCGGCCCCGCCGGCAGTTCGATTGACGACGACGGCGCGGAAAGACAGACGGCGCCCCAAGCAGCAGTTGCCGCCCAGCATCAGGGGAGCGCGAGGGTGTTTGCAGAAGGAGGAAACGGTGGAGGAGGAGGAGGCGACACTGCGATAGGTGCAGAACAGAAGGAAGAGGAGTCGGGGTCGTCGCCGTCGGCCACGGGGTCCGAGTCGGAGTCGGAGGAGGACGAGGCGGTTAAAGCAGGACGAGGAGGACGAAGGGGAGGAGGAGGAGGACGAGAAGGATGAGAAAGGGGTGGAGGAAGAGGTGGAGTACGAGGTGGAGTACGTAGACGGTACGGTTGAGGTGGGAGCGGCGGAAGAGGCGGCGAGGTCGGCGGATGAGAGGAACGAAGAAGAGGAGGATGGCAATGCAGGTAATGCTACGAGGTCGGCAGATGGGGGGGAGGAGAAGGATGAGGTCGGCGTGGAGGCAACGACGGAAACGGGCCAGGAGGAGGCGGCATGCGAGGGAAGTGGGAAGGTGCCGGTCGACGCCGGCGAAGGGGCGAACATCACAGGCGTGCAGGAGACGGGGGAAGCATCTGGTCGGCAGGGTCATGAACTGGACGACGTCGAGGAACTTCGACGGAAGAACTGGTTGTTGAGGGTGGAGAACGCTCGGCTGGCGACGTTGCTCGATGAGGAGAAGGCTCGGCTGGACAGGTTTTTTGTCGGGGTACGTGAACTCGTCGACAAGATGAACGAGTTGGCCGACCAGGTCGCCGACTCCGACCAGACTGCGGCGGAACGGCTGCGGAACGCGACGTCGGCCATGTCGACGACCATCACGGGCAACATCACCGGCAGCTTCGACGAGGCGTGGAAGACGATGAAGACCTTCGCGGAACAGGCGTCGGCGTGGTTGTTGGACTTCGACAATCCAGGGGGAAACATGGCATATGCACGCGCCGAGGCGGTCTCCGCCTTGGCCGAACACGTCGATACGGTGGTGGACGATGCTAAGAGGGGTTTGGAGGAGTACATCTCGAACCACCTAGCCTCCGCGCAGGTCAACATCGCCACCGGTGTGACTCACAGGCTCGCCGTGCAGCCGCCGCCTCCGGCTCAGCCCACGCCGCCCGCCCCGACGCCCGCCTTACCGGAGGAGCTCTTGAAGTCGTTCAAGGCAGACATCTTGAAGGCGGTGACGGAGGCCACCCAGCAGTCGTTTCTAGCTTCCGGTATGAAGTTCATGACTGAGATGATCGGCACTGTGGCGCCTGGTCGACGTGGGTCGTCGCCTTCGGCCAATGGCGCCGATCACGCGCAGCGGAGGGAGGCCGACAAGCAGGGCCAGAATAGGACGGGCGGCGGAGACGATGCGGGGAGCGTGGAGCGGAGCAAGGGAGCGGACGGGAGCCGCGGTCCAGTCGCGTTGTCGTCGGCCAATGTCGCCAATCAGGCGCAACGGAGGGAGGCCGACAAGCAGGGCTAGAAGAGGACGGGCGGCAGAGACGGACCGGTGAGCGTGAAGCGGAGCAAGGGAGCGGACGGGAGCCGCGGTCCAGGCGGCTCGAAGCCTGCTTCACAGAGCGTGGTCGACCAGCTGAAGACGAAGGCGGGGTGGAAGGTGTTAAGGTCGTCTTCCAGCAAGGGGGATGGGAGCGGGGGGGCAGAGGGTGGCACTGCCGACGAGGTTGCCGCTAAAGTCGCGGCACCGGAAGGCCCGCATTTGGTCGCCGAGCAGACCCATCCTCAGGCGAGCGGTGGGAAAGGCGTGCGCGACAAGGAGATAACAACCGCTCAGACGGCGAAAGATGGCGGCGCCAGAACCGCCAAGGGACCGTCCGTCGCTATGGCGGGGTCCACGTCGATTTCCCGAACCTCCCCCTCGGCTACCACCGCGCCGGCCGGCCAGTCAGGTGCCAACAACGAAGGGACGGCCATTGCGGCCCCTTCACCTCCAGCAGCCCCACCGGCCGCCAAGGGCGACGTGAAGGCTCCTGCGCCTAAGCGCGATGGTCCGTCAGCTGCTAAGTTGCCCGCCGGTGGTAACGCGCTCAGGGAGTTGCTCCTCCGCATGGAGACACATCGCAGGGACGTGCAGCAGCCTCCCGTGGTCGACGCCGGCCTCGCCGGAACAGCTCGTCGCTCCGTCACCCCGCAGGTTGCCGGCACGTCGTCCGGCGCCCCACTTGTCGCGCCTCAGGTCGCCGCCCGACCGCCTGCGGACCCAAAGTCCGCGTTTCTCCGCGCCCAGTTAGGCGCACGCAAAGCGGCAGCTCCACCTGTGACTCAGCCGGATGCCGGTACAAGCGCGACGCCGACGTCGGTGCTCAGTGCTGTGGGCGAAGGGAAGGCAGCGTCGATGGTTGCAGGTGCTGGGGAGAAGAGGGTCGAGGACTTCAAGAAGGTGATGCACGCGGTGGTCGACCTAGCACGCAATAGGGAGGCACCAGCAGGGGAGGTTGCACACAACGTCGCACCGGCGCTGCAGCGTCAGGCTGTGGACAAGGCCTTCAAGGAAGGGGTTGTAGGAGTCGAGGCCGACATAATCGCTAGAGCGACGGTCGAGACCTTGGCGTTCTGGGGAATGTGCCCCGTCGCCGGGCCCAAGCTCAAAGAGCACGGCATCGATGTCCCGTGTGACGTGCAGATGGAGTACGATATGGAGCACAGGGGGAGAAAGGGGGAGAAAGTCAAGCAGGGCAAGGGCAGCAAGAGGAAGAAGAGGCAGACGGGGAAGCAGGGCAAGGACAGTACGGATGCGTAGTCGGCGGGCGGAGGTGTGCAGGGTGCTAGGGTGTATAACATGTTGGTATGGCCGGCGCCGATTTCGTTGTTATTTTGGTGACTGGTTTCTTTGTAACAGGTTGCTACGCTTTTTGATGATATAAATTACTGTCCTCATAGAAACACGGTAATCGACTTTGAACGCTGAGCCTTGTCGGTGCATTTGTCGACATTATATTAACATGCTACTAGGCGAGGAACGATGACACATATATCTGCTGAAACATTAAACTCGGCGACGAGAACTGTCACCATATATGTCGACATCATAGAAACATGCTACTCGGCGTTGAGCTTTGGAGGCGAATTTGTCGACATCATAGAAAGATGCTACTAGGCGATGAACAACTTGTCCTACAAGCCGTAGACATCGACTTGTTTTGGGGTGTCTTATTTTTGTTTCTTACTAAGCGACCGACAACATTCACCGTAGCGGGATCAAATTAGGTTCGCAAGGACCTTGCTGTGGGTTGTTCACAAACTACCAGCACAGTATCAAACTACGCAGACACAAGATGGGGGGGGGGGGGGGGGGGGGGGGGGGGGGGGGGGGGGGGGGGTATGTCTGCCACAATTTACAGCATCAAACTACGCAGAGGCATATCCTACAAGGGGCATCATGCCGACTTCTTGCGCTTGGTCGAAGGACGGTGCATCGATGCGGTCGGCTTGGCCGGTGCAGTCAACTTGGCCGGTGCGGTCGGCTTCGCCAGGTCGGCCATTGTCTTCGGCATCTGCTCCTCCCAGGTGTCTGGAAACGGGGCAGCGACCCAATCACTCGGCTTCAGGTTGAGCGCCACAAGCGCACAGGCGAGGCGAAGCTTCGAGACCACCTTGGGGCCCAGCCCCTTGACTCCCATGCCAGGCTCTTTGGAGAACGTCGGTGTCCAAGCGGACGGAGATTTCCTGCAGCGGTAGGACAAAGACGTTAGCTGCGATGTGGTTTGGCATACACTCCATACAGCTCGTCGCCGACATGATTCTCGACTTACCTCTGCCTGAATTTGGGTCGGGTCCCGACGCTTGTTGATCGTCTCGGTGTCGACCTTCTCGACCCGTTTCGCCCAGTGCTGGAAGAGGGGGATCCGGCAGAGCTTGGAACCTTGGACGTACGGGTGCCATGGTGTGCGGACCAGCTTCACCGCTAGGTCCTCCGCGACGATGCGGCGCAGCATCTGGAGTGTGCGCCAGAAGTGCACGGCGGCTCTGTCGGCGTCGGACCCCTTGGCAGCGAGCTCCTCCGCCTGCAAATCGTCATGTATATTGGGTGTTCAGGTACGGTCGGCAACACGACACGAAGACAAGACTACGTCGGCGTCGCTTAACATACCTTCTTCAGCATGGCGTCGACGCCGGGGAAAATGTGATCGGCGATGAGCTTCAAGAGCTTCTCGGAAGGGGGCACCCTGCTCCGGCCCAAGAAGTAGTCCTGTTTGTAACCAGAGTAACCGGCCTTCTTCATCACCACCCCCACCGGAATGGCGGTGATGTACGCTCGCGTCATCTTGTCGAGCGCCCAGTGACCCAGCTCCGCGATCTCGGCGCGCGGCGTGCCGTCGATGGCCAGCTCTTGAGCCCCTCCTGCTCGAGTAGCGTGCACATTCCTTTTGCAAAACACCCCGTTCTTGTCCCACAGCTGCCGCGTCCAGCGTTGGTGACTTGCCGCAGAGAGCTCTCCTTGGTCGGTGTCGTTTTTGGCGAAGAAAAGGTGCTTCTTGTACCAGCTCGCGCGTGTGCTGGTGTCCACCGGCGGAATGAGGCCGACGCCGTGAAACTGGCCGATCTGGTCGAGGATGAAGTGCAACCACAGGCCAGTCTCACCGACGGCGCATAACTTCGCTTCGAGGTGTCGCGCCGCGTAGCTCTGCTGCAGACGCGCATCCTTGGACGTCTTCGAGTTCCGCGCAGCGATGACCGTGACGATCTTCGGGTTCTCCGGGTTCACCGACGAGGTGCTCGCCAGTCGGTACAAGAAGATGTCGGGGAGCGTGATCTCGCGGATGCTTGCACCGCGCAGGAGAGAGTGGTGGGAGAGTAGCGTGAGCACCTTCAAGAGCAGGAACCTCCACAGCGTCTGGGAAGGACCCGTTCCCTACGGGTTCCACGCCTTGGCCGCCCACGCCGGCAGCACCCTCATCATGATCCGGCGAAACTGTTCCGCGGTGTAGGTATCGCCGATGGTTCCGCGACGGCGATCGGCGCAGTTCCTGCCCACAAAGCCAAGAGTAAGGGTTATTCAGCGCGGCGTCGACTTTAGTGTGGACGACATAGATTGGACCTCAAATTACTTGATGTCCCGCTCGTTCTTGGTGCGGATCATGAACCGCACCTCCGACCTGACCACCGATATCTCCCGCATGATGCTCAGCTCCGTCTCCCGGTAGAGCGTCGCCTCCACTCTCGCCGCCATCTGGCATGCCTTTATGCGCCCGAGGAGCGTGTGCACCATTGTAGATTGCACAGGCTGGGTTCGCGCGGCGTTGTTCCCCTCCTCGATGGAGTCGGCATCGAGCTTACACTCACGCACCATGTACTTCACGTATGCGCGAAGCCGGGTCTTGGTGACCCTAGGGCCATGCAGCCACACGTACGCCCGGGGGACATCGGCCTCCTGGTCCCAATTTTCCTTCTTGTTGTCCCGGATGTAGTGGCCTATCTCGTCGACGTGCTTAAGCCTGTGCTCCTGGGGAAGTTTGTTGCGAATTTGCCTCAACATCTTCGCCGCCCACCTCTTGTAGTGGTATATCCAGGAGGTGTACTGCCTCAGCGTGCTGTTCTTCTCCAGGGTTTGCAGGTGGCGTAGGGCGTCCATGACGAGCACGTCGATGCACGCGTACACCATGTCTTCCTCGACGAAGTCTGCCGTCCTCCACTGTTCGCGCGGCACCGACATGTTCTCCTGGTCCTCATCCTCGTCCTGTTCGAGCAGTGTATCTATGTATTCAAGTTCCCGCCTGAGTCGTTCTTCCAATGTGCGCGGATTAGTGCTACGCGGTGGACGCTCGTCGTTTTCGTCATCGCTTTCCTCCTCCTCCTCCTCCTCATCCTCCTCCTCCTCATCATCAACATGGTTTCCAGAACCGGCCGGTACCGACGAAGTTCCTGGCTGTCCATTTTGTGTCGGAGTCCGTTTCTTTTTCTTGTTGAACTCCCCGATCGGCGGTGGGGGAATGTCCTTGGTGAACTCTCCTTTCGGAATCTCCGTCAGCGCGTCAAGATCGTAGAGTAACGGGAAGGTCTCTTCCTCGGTAGATGTAGGAAGGTGGTCGGTAGGGGGACTAGCGTCGGACATGTCGACGTCGGCCATGTGGCAGCAAGTATGAGGCTCTACCTTCGTCCGTGTGCGATGCGGAGGTTGGCAAACCAGAGACGGAACTGAGTCGCGGGCGCAGTGTACGCCCGGAAAGTTGCGTGGCGGTCCTCTTCGAATTCTCGCTCAAGTTCGTCTAACTCGGCTTCTAGCTCGAGACGTTCCAGCTGCGCTTTTATGTCGGCGTCTACTGAGTCGGCGGGGGGTGGGATGGGTTGCGGCTGTTGGGCTCTAGGGCGACCTCTGGCCATGCGTCGCCGACTTGCTAGGTCGGCAGATACGTTGATAATTTTCACCGATGTTGTTCTACAACACCTGACGTCGACGTCGACGAGTACTGACCACCGCCGACGTTTTGGTGGGTGCCAGGTAGAAGCAAGAAGTGCCGACTCGAACGAGTAGTCGGCAACCGAGTATCATACAAGCAGCGAAAAATTCTAAGTGCACTAGAGAGCAGGAAGAATCGCATGAACGGACAAGGGAATGAGCACCGGTGCACGGTCACGGTGGGGTATGGTCCTGAGCGACTCCGATGCTGCCGCGGGTCACGCAAACCCCTGTGCTTCTGCCGCCATGCATGTGAACTCGTGTGGCGGCGCACTGTCCGACGTGCCACGTGCCAAGCATGGCTAATGGGACGCCGCGCTGCACCCAAGGGGCGCAAACCTGGGCCATTCCACTGTGGAATGGGCGTGTGTTACGTGGCTTGGGACCAACATTGGTGCCTCTCCGCGGAAATTAGGACATGCCGACTTCCATCTCCCAGGGGCCCTGGATTATTGAGGCCCAGCGTGGTGCCTCGTGATCAGCGTCGACTTGCACTCGGCGCGCTTGGTTGTATGGTTAGGTTCATTGAACCTGGACGGAGTTGGGAATGTGCCGCGTGGCTCGGTTGTGGGCCGTTGGATGACTTGGTCGACATCGACCTCGCTTGCAATGTGAGATGCCACAAGAGTGTTACATTTTGGACGGTCCGATTTGCGCCGCATGGATCGCGCACCGCCAATTATGGCGGGATCGTCGACTTCCCGCGCAAAAGAAACACCGCTGGAGCGACGCGTGTCCACGACGTCCACGTCGTGGGAGCCATGTACACGCTGGGGACGATCTTGGCTCTCCCATTTTGTCCGCTGAGATATCCTTCTCAGGTATCTCCCAGCAAAACTCGAGGTCGTCAAAATGTCGACAATCCCGAGGGCTCCCGAGGCCCCTGAGATGCCAGTTTGTCGCTCGGAGGTCATCAAGAGGTCGTCAGTCCGGAGGGGGGCCCTTGTCTTTCTTGTACCTCGAATCGGGCGGCCTTTTTTGGCCGCTGAGGTATATCATCCCAGCTCAGGAGGACCAGCAACCGCCCTGAAACGTACTGAAATGCACTCTACTATTTTGTAATGTACAGAAAATACCAGAGTCTGTGCCGCCCACAACTAACCGTGGGTGGAGTGGAGTGGAGCCACTCCCCAGACACTTGACGTGCACCTGTTCGCCACTTTCGCCAAAGCCGGCAAAATGACACGCACGCGGTAGCAAGCTGGCTGGGCGTGTAACGCTAAAATACACCATTCATAACTAGTCGAATCAATATGAACGTGTATCTCTCAAACACCACCTTAGACAAGTGGCGAGAAGTCTTACAGCGGAAATTTTCGGAAAACTCTGCTTGCGTAAACCCCGTAACGACTGCGACCAATTAGAAATCTTCATTTTCGCGTGTAACCCAAGCCACCCACCAAGCGAGTCCCCCTGGTCCATGCTGAGTCAATGCGGACAACATCCACGTCAAACCTCAGCCAGAGACGTTCTCGAGATTCCAGACGAAGAAGTAACCCATATATCACTCGCCAGTAGCCGAGTACTGGCGTAGTTTCGCGACCTGTAACCTTCGTGGTAAATGTCGCACATCGTGAATGTCAGGAGCAGGGGATGGACGATTTTTCTCGGACCATGTTGATTGGGGAAGCAGCGTAGTAGCAGCAGCGGCGCGTCCGACCAAGCATAAGAGCCTACTAACTCGTGGGAACTGAAGCATCAGTGTGTCACTCGTTGAATCCCCTCCAGCATGTAAGGCCAGAACGACTCGCATTGCCGAATACTTACTATTCGCCCAGTTCTCAACTACTAGTTACGTAACTATCGCGCCTTTCTGCCTGTCCTTAATTAAGCGGCATTCGCGCCGGAACGCTGAAAGCCATGGCTCGTCAACAGCGCCTCGGTCGTTCTTGCGACGGCACCGGATTTCGCCGCACCCTCCGCCGTGTGAGACGGATACGAAGCTCCGCAGTCACCGGCCACTCTGGATCCTCCACAATCTCCACGGGAGACGGGGCGGAGCGGCAGACGCGGCGAGAATGGCGGTGGAAGAAGCGGGTTAGTGGCGGTTCCGCTGACTCCAGACTTCCACTGCACGATTCACGGAAGGTACGCGGCGGAAACGACGGAAACGGCAGAATCAGCGGCGGAGGGGAGAGAAGCGCACATTCAGTCAACTCTGGATGTGAAAATATCGAGAGTAACGGAGGCGGCGCCTGCGGCAGTATCGACGGGGCCGACGTGGAGCCGAGCGGTGCGTCCGACGATCTGGGAGGTGGCCCAGCCGCGGAATCCGATCCTGCTGGTGGGAAATCCAATCCCGGATCAAATTCGCGAAGTGGAGGAAAATCAAATCCTTGGAAGCGCTGCACCAACTGTTGCGTCTGGAGCGGGTGTTCAAGCCGACGCCCCTGCTGTAGCGGTTGTAGCGTCGGCTGTAGCGTCGGCTGTAGCGTCTCCCCTTCGCGGTCCTCCCCAAGGAGAAGCTACTTCCCCATCCAACTTGCGCGCTACAAGTGTGCTAGCCTCCTCATCGAGAAGGGAAGCTACATCCGCCGTTTCTGCTACACTCGCCTCTGGCACCACAACCAACGCCAACGCTACATCCGTCCCTCATGCTACATCCGTGACTGCTGCTAAAGCCACCCCTTGTGCTACAGCCGCGGCAGCATCACATGCTGACTTCATCATTCGTGCCGTGGCGCCCTCCGCTGGCGTCGCCCTCTGGGAGGCGCTCAGGCGCGCTACAGATGCTGCCACGGCTGTAGCCTCTCTGCACACGTGGCAAGAGGAGGACTGCGCTGACGTGGACGAGGGCTGCAGCAGAGAGTTCTGGGCGGCGGTTGCGGCGGATGATGCAGCAGAAGAAGATGATTGGATCCTGGCCGTTGATTCTCTTGGTTTATGGTGGCTCTTTGGGCACTCGGGCATTAACATCAGCGACAACGAGGCACTGACTTCATCAGAAGAAGATATTTCCAACGTGAATCTGAACAAGGAATATAATTCGGAAATTCCAGGCAATGGTGTTGATGACGAGGGTGTGATTGTGACTGAAGCAGCTGGGGCTGAGCAGCTGGAGCAGCAGGAGCAGCGGGAGCAGAGGGGACAGCAGGATGGCTGCACACCTGACATGCATAAGCATGAGAGGCCCGAAGGGTGTTACTCCGTGCGTGTGTTTGTGTCCGAGTTTGAGGCCCGAGCGCCGTTCCTGCACTTTTCTCTCTCGGAACATGCCGCCCGGGTTGCCTCCTCGCCTAATGCGGGCGGCGCTTCTGTCATATCCGAGGTGAGTCCTTGGCAATGTCATGTGCATCACCTCCTTCTTGGCGGCGCTCTCTCATGTTCTGTTTTCCAGTGAATAACAGCATTGCCCTTTCCGGCCTATTCACCTCCTCTGCAGTCACTTTCCGTGGAATATTTTGTGCGACATTTTGGCGCAACTGACATTATTTCAGAAATGGAGGTAAGAAACAAATATCCTGTGCACCGTTCCCGCTTTTCCCTCTCTTTCTCGCCTCCAATACTGATGCAGAACATCTGTTGGTTTGATTCTATCTCAGATCAAGTACTGCCACAGCAACTGGAAGAAGGTGGATTACATCTGCAGCTTGTTTGGGCGGCGCTTTGGAGTGTCGGTCACTCGAGCCATGATGTACCCCGACCCCGCTCTCTTCGATTGCCACCGCGCCCGCGCCCTGCTCAGAAAGAAGCTGCATGGCCTGGTAAGTGCTACGCGATACATCTTTATTTTTCTTTTCTTTTTTCCTTCTTTTGGGGGGGAAATATAAAATCACCGTGTGTGCAGCTTTCCATTTTATCATCGTCCCTTGCAGCTGATGCATTTGTGCTGGTTTTGTGGTGCGCAGGTGGTGGCGTGGTCGGGCGTCTCGCCCATGCACTGCTTCTCTCGAGCCATTCTCCACGTTTGGTGCGAGACTGCGCACATAGCCAACCTTTTGCAAGACGCATTTCCAGGCAAGAACCGTAAATAGCACATGATTTCCCTTTTAATGTGTTTCTCTTTCCCCGTCACTATTGGGTTGTTGGTTGCTTATACTCTTCTGCTCTGTGATAACTGCAGAGGTTTCAAGCTCCCTGGACACGCAAGAAGATGTGCTGATGGTGTTGACTGTTGCAGAAGGGCACCAAGGCTGGCCTATCTTCTATGAGTCATTGTACAAGGTATCTGAAAGGCCAAGGGATGAAAGGGAAAGGGGCTTATGGGTGCACCATGCAAATCACCCCTGGTTTGGAATAAATATGAAGACTTGTGTCAGGGCTGTGTAGTAGCGTGTGTATATTTCTGTAATCTAACACTATCCGAATGTGTGTGCAGCGAGGTGTGCATGAACTCCAATGATATCGTATAAATATATACTTATGCTTATTATTGGCAATAAGTGCAAGCGCATTGCATCATGCAGTATTGAGTCTCTGTCATGCTTGCTCAACAAGACACAAGTCCACGTGTATTCGATTGCACCTGACGTCTCCTCTTACACAGTCAGCATCACATTGACCAATTGCCATGCCGTTTGCCATCGGTAACCTAGTCACTTTTCAAGAGCATTGCCAATCAGGTCGCAATATTCTGGCGCGCTTCGCTCATTTATTCCCTATCGCTGCGCGTCAATTTCAGGCCCCACCAGCACCTGATTCCCCGTTCAGATGCTCCGGCTCCAGCCCCATCATCATCACTCACGTCGAAGTGCACGCGCGTGGAACATCGGTCTTGCAAAAGCTTGTGCCGACCTTCGTTAACGCATTATGCCGCGGTAAAACTTTCTGTACCGTTGTATATTCGTGTGGAACCCTTCAGGGTGGTTGGAATACCATTTGGGATTTGGGGCCAAGCGGATGTGTAAGTGAGCAAGCCACCTCAACTCTTCCCTCACTCACCTCAACGCTCGTGGTTTCGATTCTGGTCGATTGTCTTCAAGTGGCTTGCATGCTGAAGCAGAAATCCGCCCGATCCCTCCCTACCACGCACGAGGAATCGCGTTCAGCAGTAGCCTTTGCTGCCTGAATCCTGACAAAGCCTCGCGGCAGAAGCCCCTTGGTCCGTCTAATCCATATCAGGTCCAGTTTTTCTGTTGCCTTCGACACCCGCATATTCGATGGATGGGAATCTTCATTTTCGCAGTCCCCTTACTAGCGGAACTTACCGCCAGACTCTGTAGCGCTTAGCCGCAGTACAGTATAGTAGTAGGCGCGCAACTGGAAATCCACGAAGCACTGATAATCAGTTGCTCCCCGTTTCACATGCCACTACTACTAGAGATGACTCGGTATCACTTCGTTGTTCGCCGTAGTTGAGGGCAGCCGCGACCTCAGGTTACTAGACTTTCACCCTGGGCGTCCATGGCCGTAGTTCCGTCGCTCGATGGCTCATCCTCTCACACCTCACCAGCATCAATTAGCTACTACACAACCAGTTCGACCCGGCAATTATCCGAGTCGACCGAAAAATCGACTTATCACAGGCGTGCCATCCGTGCTACGCAGAAGCTCCTGTCGACCCCGTTCGTTTTTCGCTCCTGTCGGTGCTGGTTGGAAGTTCCAGTCCCGGGTTGTCGCGACTTCCAGTCGTGCCGACCGGCCTGGCCGCGACTACCCGCATCGCGGCGCTACCGGTGGGACGGCGGCGGCGGCGGGTGCGGGAATGGCTCCTTTCGCAGCGGAGTTCGGCGCGCTGTCGCACGATTTCGTCGTGCGAACGCTTTCGCCGCGCTTCCCTTCGTGCCGAGTGTCCCTGCGTGAGGCGCTTCAGCGCGAGGCGGTGGCGGGCGTGGCGATGGCAGAGGAACAGCACGTGAACAATAACTGGATAACAGACGATTTCTCGACGACAGTTGACGATGGCCCTTCATCTGCTTCATCTGCGTCTTCTTCTTTCTCCTCTTCCCCTTCCTCCTGCTCCTCCTTCTCTTCCTCCTCCGGATCATCAGCATCCTCGCAAAAGTCGCCTGCGAGTCCGCTTTCGTCTGCTTCCTCTCTGCGCGATGCGGATTGGGCTTTGATCGACGATAGCTTCGGCATGGACTTGCTTTTCAATCCCGACGGTGGGGATACCGCGGCGCAAAACGCAGAGCTAGATTCTTCTCAAACCGGGGACGCTTGCGCCGCCACTCGGAATTTTCTCGGAGGGTTCGGACCCGTAGCCGCGTCAGTAGTAGACGTAAATTGTCGAGCAAAGGAGAACGAGCTCAGCATAGTAAGCCGTGGTCCGTCAACGAGAGGCGCGGGTTCATCCGCGAGTACTCGAGACGATCTAGGCGATCAATCCAGCCCACCGACTGCCTTTCCCCTCACCCACTTCTCCAAAGAAATTCAGTCGCCATCCTACCCTGCCATACGGCTCCCCCATAGGCGTGACGGAGCATGTGGTGCAGATAGTGCATGTGAGTCTGAGTTAGCGCCATCGGAGCAAACAAAACAGTGGGGTAAAGGAGTAGGAGACAGCTTAGGGTATATGGGTCGATTTGGTCGTTTGGAGCAAGTGTGTGAAGGAGGCGGAAGTGTGATTGTACAGGATGGTCGTGTATATAAAGAGACAGTAGATGAGATTCGACTAGGCGAAGGGAGTGTACAGGTTGAAGCGGTTTTCTTGAGTGAGTTCGAGGCGCGGGCCCCGTTTGTGGAGTTCACACTATCGAAAGATGCTGTTAGGGTTGCTTCCTCCCCAAACGCAGGTGGCGCGTCCGTCATTTCCGAGGTAACGAAGCACTTATTCTTGAATCAAGTCTCTGTTTAAAGACACCATTTTCATGTAAATCTCTGATAACCAGAAGGCCCCAAAGTTAGATAATCTTGATTTGAGCGGATTCCGGCATGATTACAGATGTTACGCCACCCCAACCCCCCAGTCCCTTTCAGTGGAATATTTTGTGCGCCATTTCGGTGCATGCGACATCATTTCAGAGATGGAGGTACGTGAATTTATGAGTTGGGAGCTATTATCAATACAAAAAAAGAGGGAATTTTTCAGAGCTTTTAACACATGTTTCTAGGAATAGCGTTTGTAAGACAGACTCCTTCAATTATACACCTCGTTCCTTGCATTCTGTCCCACACAGATGATCAGCTATCTAGTCTCTGATCTCTAAATCGCAGGTACAATACTGCGACAGCAACTGGAAGAAGGTGGATTACATCTGCAGCTTGTTTGGGCAGCGCTTTGGAGTGTCAGTCACTCGAGCCATGATGTTCCCCGACCCCGCTCTCTTCAACTGCCACCGCGCTCGCGCCCTCCTTAGAAAGAAACTGCACGGCCTGGTAAGTTCAGAAATGCTTGTCTCCCAAAAAAGCAACTAAGTTCTCCAGATACTTTCTTTACAGCATGCGTGGGCTGTGTCCTCTGCATTTGCAACCTTATGTTAACTTTTCCCCCGTTGCTCTCCCTATTCCCTTGCTGCATGGTGCCATTACAAGGTGGTGGCATGGTCAGGCATATCTCCCATGCACAGCTTCTCTCGAGCTATCCTTCACATCTGGTGTGAGACCCCTCACATCGCCAACCTCCTACACCAGGCCTTCCCATGTATGCCACGAACCCTTGTACACCTTTCTTTACCCAACTCTGCTGCTGGTGGTTTTCTTGGTACCTGTATTTTGCAGCATGCTCACCTATGCATGCCGGTTTGTTGTTTCCGCACGTCCTGCTGCATATTTTGATCGTTAATCAACCCTTTTCTGTGTCCTCCTTGCGTTTTTGAGTCAGCTGTGTGCAGAGAGCTTGACCTTCAAGAGGACGTACTAATTGTTTTAACGGTTGCAGAGGGTAATCATGGCTGGCCCATATTCTACGAGTCTGTATATACCCATTCTATCATATCCCACTCTGCAGATTGGAGCACTCCATGTGAAACAGACAAAACTGCCCTCTGCACTTGGGTCCATATGGGCAAAAAACACAAATGTAGTTGAGGATTTATCATTTGCTTCTACTGTATATCAACTTGTATAAATTGTGGTGATTAATATAAAATGCCAACATGTTAACTCGTGATTCATGGATTTTGCCCATGCCCAATTATCAAAGCGCATCTCAAGTATGCAGGTACTTATTGGATTGGTAATTGACAGGCACATCCTGCTAGGTATTTGTATGCATGTTACCTTGGATGGTCGTGAAGGTAGGGTAGTGGTGCAAATTCAGGGACTGGTTGAATTGGGAGTTATGGTGTGAGAAAGAGTTGCTTGCCTGCCGGTGTACGTCCGATCGCAGCACACACCCATGACGAGGACAGACCGAACATGTCGATTTCAGACCCAGGACAAGCACGAAAATGAAACTGAACGTGTGGTCTGGGGCGCTAAAGTGTGCCTTCCTGCCTTCCTTCCTTCCCCAAACCGCAACCCATCTCCTCACGGGTCCGAGCCGAAGTCAAGGAAACTGACACGAAGTCGGGTTCTTCTGACTGCACGGACCAGTAGTGTCGCCATACAGTTCAAAATAGAAAGCACGTAAGTGAAATTGTCACACGCGCTGAGGGAGTTCTCGAAGTTGGAAAAAACACATCCCAAGGTGGAAACTCATCCCCAACATCCAAGCGTCTGTACCTCAGTACCAGATGGAGGCGTACTGCACCGCATCCAGACGTTTTAAACTCTATTTTCAGGAAGAGCTATCGGTGGTTGTCTTGTCCGTCGTAGCAGCTGTATGGGCTGTCTCCAGCATGGCTGTTCTCGCTTCCTGCGGTCGTCATGTTAGAACCAGCGTGATTATCGGTCGTCATTCTTTCGCCAACGATTTGTTCGGCCTTGAAGGTCCGTCCGACCGGAACCCAAACATTAGGAGCGCTTGCGGGAAAGATGGAAGCAGCGGTCGCCTTTTTCCCTGAACTGACCGTGTTCTAATGCAAGACCATCGTCATTTCACTTGCTCAACTCGTAATTTCAAGAACTGAACGGAGGCCGACATTGTTTGGTCGCGGCTTTCTGACCTCTGGTCTTGCGAATCCACCCACGAGCTATCTCACCGGATGTCTGCTCCGTCTCCGTTCCGTGCTGGCCATCTCACAGAATCTTCCCTATTCGAGACGCGTTTTGAGTCGTAGAGACGGAACGGCTGGGCCGCAGAGACATCCTTCAGAATCGACTCAGTAAGGGTTGACTCATATCGCACACACTTGCATTGGGGGCTGACTCTCACGACTCATCGGGGTTGCTGACGTAACTTCTTGCTTCAGCTAATAAAGGAGCTCCTTTTTGCTAACTTATCTCGCTATCTCGTACATCGACACGGCTCAGAACTGGTTTCGTGTATTAAAACGGCGTCCCCGCGATTCGAAGAGGTGTACATAATATAGGAGTATGCTGATTCTGCCGAACTCTAAGCAAGTCGTCATGGCGAAGCGAGCGGCTTTAGTGCGTCGTGGAGGCTGTCCTCCCTGCTAGTCGGAGAGGTTTGTTTGAATCTGCTCACCCGCAATATAGTCTTCTTATGATTTCCCCATCTAATTATTTCTAGGACAATAAATACCGAGCCTCCTTGCAAGTAGTTGCTGCACATATTTTGCCGATAGTGCTTGCGCGAAATCAATAGTAATGGCGAAGCTTGTGGATTTAGTGCTTCACAGAGGCCTCTCTAGTCGCCGAGCCGGCGCGAACAGCGAGTGGGGGCCGTACGCGTTGGGAGCAGTCGACGATGGCGACGAAGACGAAGCTGTCACCATGGTGGACGGCGACGCCGACGAAACCGTTGGCGAAAAGGGTAACAGTGGTGGGGACAAACGTCAGCGACAGCAGCAACAGCTGCTGTGGCCGCCGCAGGCGCAGCCGCATCAGACGCTGCTTCCGCAGGTGGTGCTTCCCGCGAGCCTAGACTCAGCTGGTATCGCGGCGGGAAACGCGGCGTTGGATGCGGGTGGGGGTGCATTGCAGCACGGAGTACAGACACAAATTTCGCAGCCACAACCGTTCCAGCCGCAGCAGTTTCCGGAGCAGCAGGAGCAGCAGCAGCAGCGGGATGTATTCACTTTCAGGGCCGCCGAAGCGTCTCCCGCGGCGCAATCGGCAGCCATGGATTGCTACTCCCCCACCAAGCTAATCCGAACCAAATCTCTCTCCTTTCACCCTCCTGCAACCACCTTCAATCCACTTCCCTTCCGCGATCTTACCCTCCCCGCCTACTCCCTCATCTCCTCTCCGCACTCCCCCTCGCGCTCTCCCCCGCGCGGGGTTTCCCCGAGCTCCGCGGAACCCATGTCCGCGGACGCCTTTTCCGCCGCGCCGTTCGGCTCCCCCTACCACCCTTCCCCCTCTGTCAGCGCAACCTTCCCCGCGAGCTCCCCCACGTCCCCTTTCCCCGCGCCGTCGTGCACGGGCTCGTGCTTCTTCCCCTCGGCAGGAACTCCGCCTCCGCCTCCGCCACCGCATCCGCTCCCCCCTCCGCTTCCGCCCACGCTTCCGTTTCCGCCGCCGCGGCAGGTGGACTGCCGGCGCATGAACCCGCCGCTGGGGCGGCTGATTTCGCGCCTGTGCGGGTTCCAGTCGGGAATAATGCAGCGCCGCCAGCACGTGTTCGTGATGCACCACGGGGAGCGCGCGGACGCCGCTGACCCCCTGTGGGCGCGCAGAGAGGGCGCGGAGCGCGCGTGGGACCCGCCGCTGTCGGAATGGGGGAAATACCAGGCCTATGAGGTGAGCGGGGGGGAAGGTGTGTGGGGGGGAAAATGGGGAGGGGGGAATGTGGGGGGAAAGTCGGGGAGGGAAGGAGAGGAGTGGGGGGGGGAAGGGGAGGGGTTGAGTGTGGGGGAGGGAAGTGGGGGCGCAGGGAGAGTGCGGAGCGGAGTGGGGGGGATGAGGTGAAGCGTGTCACCTATATCCACGTGGTTCAACCTCTCCAGTGTCCCCATATCCCCATATCCCCATATCCCCATACCCCCGTATCCCCATACCCCCGTATCCCCGTACCCCCGTATCCCCACATCCCCGTATCCCCATATCCCCATATCCCCGTATCCCCATACCCCGTATCCCCACATCCCCGTATCCCCATATCCCCATATCCCCGTATCCCCGTATCCCCATATCCCCATATCCCCATGTTCCCCTGTCATTGCCATGTTCCGTCAGGTGGGCATGAGGCTGAGGCAGGAGGGGTGGGGGGTGACGCGCATAGTGTGTGCGCCGTACCTGCGCTGCGTGGAAACCGCCCTCGAACTCCTCCTCGCGCTCACCGACGCACAACCCCTTCCACCTCCCTCCTCCTCTGCCCCCACCGCTGCTTCTCCTGCTGGCGCTCCCACCACTGCTGGCTCTGCTGCTGATACTGCTACTGCTGCTGGTGGTAGCAGTGGTGGTAGTTTTGGCGCCGGTAGCAGCAGAATTAGCAGCATGGTTCCAGGGGGTAGTAGCTTTCTCTCCTCCTTCTTCTCCTCGCGCTTCCGCCGCAGCAAACTCGGTGGTCGCCCTGCTATTACTGCTAGTGCTGCTGCTGCTGCGGTTGGCAATGCTGCGGGCAGTGCGGGCAGTGCAGGCAGTGCGGGAGGTGTGTCAAGGTCTGCATCTGCACGCCACCAGCACCTCATGCGACGCCGACAGGTACCTCTTTCTTGCCCGCTCTTCCCACTCCGCACTCCCCCAACTCCCCTCATTCCTGGGTGGTGCTGCTGTTAGTCGTGCTAAGGCTGCTAGGGGTGCTAGTGGTACTGGCAGTGGTGGTGGAGGTGTGTCAAGGTCTGCATCTGCACGCCACCAGCACCTCATGCGACAGCGACATGTACCTCTTTCTTTCCTTGCTTCGCCCACTCGCTCCCTTCCCCTACTCTCTCCCCCTCTCCAACCCCTCTTTCCCCCTTGCCCCCTCTACCTCCCCAATACCCCTTCCCCTTCCCCTTCCCCTTCCCCTTCCCCTTCCTTTTCCCCTTCCCCTTCCCCTCACGTGAAGCAGGGTGCCTAGCTCCGACTAGCCTACTTTGTTTGCCCAGCATAGCACTCATCTCTTCCCCCGTCCCTTTCCCCTTTTGAGACGTCTCAAAAGTTGCCCAGCATAGCACTCATCTCTTCCCCCATCCCTTTCTCCTTTCTCCTCCTCGTCTCCTCTCCGCCTTGACATACCCCTCTCCCTCTCACCTTCCCTTATCCTCCCCCAACCCCCGCCTTCCCTTACCCTTTCCACCCCTGCCTTCCGATACCCTCCCCCCTTAACTCTTCCTGCAGCAATCCTCCCTCGCGCCCCAACCGAGCCTGGCCCTGCCCCCGGACCGCAAGCGCAAGTTCGGCATGTGGGACGGGGCGTTGCAGGGCGCGGGGGGCGTGGGGGGGGAGGTGCGCGTGGCAGTGCACTACGGGCTGCATGAGGTGGTGCGGCAGGGGGATGGGGGGGCGGGGACGAGTGCAGCAGGAGCACCAGCAGCAGCGGCAGCTGCAGTGGAGCTATTTGCACAGTCTGGGGAGATGAGGGGAGGAATGGGGATGGGCGGTGGACAGACGAGGGAGGGAGTGGGACAAGGCATCTGGCGAGTGCAGTCAGCGGTAGGGGGACAAGGGCAGGAGCGGGGTGAGGGGCAGGATCATGGGCAGGAACAGAGGCAGGGACAGGGTCAGGGGCAGAATCAGGGACCTTATACTGTAGCTGCCAACACAAGCAGCAGTGCTGCTGCTTCTTCGCTGGCGCCTCGTGATTGGCTGGAAGGCATGTTCCCGCCAGGCTCAGTGGACAGGATCTTGCCAGTTGTCGCTGGATCAGCAACTGCTGCTGCTGACGTGGCACTGCCAGGCTGGCCTGAGGACGTGGAGGAGGCAGCGTTGCGGCTGCTGCGGTCAATTGATCACGTGGCAGAACAGGTGGGCGAAAGGGAGGGGGGAGAGGGGCGCGGGGCAATGTGAGAGGGGAACAAAGTGAGGGCAGGGAGGTGGTCGGTGGGCTGTGGAAGGGTTGAAGCATAGAAAAACGGGAGGGCAGGTGGTTAGTGGGAGGGCGGGCAGGTGGGCTAGTGGGAGGGCGCACTGAAATCTAGTTTGTGGAATCCACCTGGCGGGGTTTAATCTCAGCGTGTGTGGATATGGTTTGCTTTGTCACCACCATCAGTGGCATGTAATGCAAAAGAAGGGAACGTGAGAGAAGAGCAGGGAAGGTGGCAAGGCGTAAGGGCGAGCTGTATCACTCTGAAACTCTCCTTATCTGATTGTTGTGTATTCGGAAAGGCAACAAGTGTCTTTCTCGGTGCGGGGAGGAGGTAGGATGGGTGACTAATCTGTTCCATGTCAACGTCACACACCTTCTGCTGCACTCCCTCCCTTCTGTCCTCACTTTCTGCCATGCTCCCTTCCACCTTGTGCCATGCCTTGCCTTGCAGTGGCAGGATGAGAACATCATTGTTGCCAGTCACTCCGATGCTGTACATGCATGTTGAGGTGTGTGTCAATACTGATCATTCTTGCTCTACTCACTCACTCTCCCTCCGTTGCACTCCCTTCCGCCTTGTGCCATGCCTTGCCTTGCAGTGGCAAGATGAGAACATCATAGTCGTCAGTGACTCCGATGCCGTACATGCGTCCATCCTTCGAGGCAGGAAACATGTGAGTGGCAGCATTTGCAAGCATGCAGTGTAGCAGTGTAAGAGAGTGACATTGTCAGGATGAGAACATCATTATTGTCAGTCATGCTCCGTGCATGCATCCATCCTTCGATGCAGAAAGCATGCGGATGGAAGTATAGCTGTGTGAGAATGCGAGTGGCAGTATGGCCATGGGTCTGTGCAAGCCCTTGCTGTTGCAAGGATGCGAGGCTGCCAAACCTACGGTCCTCTCAAGCATATTTTTTTCACCAACCAGCTACCGCATCACTCCGGATATAAGCGCAGGCCTATGATAAGCGCATGCGCTTCTATCTGGAGCAATGCGCTTATGCCCGTTCCTCAATTATAAGCGCACCCCCTGTAAAACCCTGACTTATTATAAGTGCATGTCTAATTTCAATTATAAATTTTGATTAAAACGGTAACGAAATCCAATTTTGCAGCGAGGATACAACCATTTTCTCTTCGATTGACGTTGAGGACCTCACATCCTGCGCGTCCAGGGTATGAGCTGGCATTCCAGCAGTCTGACGTGTAACTTTTGCCCCTGTGCACCGGCAGAGTATCGACCCCGCACGATTCTGATTTTTGACGCTCAAAATTTCGATTCGGTTGAAGTTGCAAGGAGGAGATGTACAATTAAGTTCCTTCCAAACATATAAGTCTATTTGTTATTTTATAAGCGCATGCGCTTATAAAATTTACTCAATTATAAGCGCACCCCCCTAAAAAAACACGTTTTATTATAAGCGCAGGTGCGCTTATATCCGGGGTATTACGGTATTGGTTACATGGCTTCTGAGGCGCCTCAAGAGTCCCTCAGAAGCCTGTAAGGTTACGAGCACGTGACGTCTCCGAACCTAAGGCCCTCACAAGCATGCTCGTTTCCTTTCCACCGGCGCAGCATGCTTGAAGTACTTCTCGTACGATTGGTTTTCTTAACTTGTCTTCTTGTACCCGTGGCAAGTCTTTCCCCAAACGGCGCCATTCCTAATATTGTGCGCTTGTTTTTCTGTGTTTGTTCACCTTTTCTTTTATTTGTGCAGGCCACTGTTCACAACATTTTGACAGCGGGTTATGTGCACACACAGAGGAATGTATATCGGGACCAGGAGGACGAGGAGGAGAGGGGCGTCGGACAATGGCAGCTTGCCTCCCGCTCTGGGAGCACAGGAATCTTCTTCAATTAGCCTCCAATAGCAGTACTGGAACCCGTATAGTTTTCGTAATTCTCCTGCCGAGCTCTCTTACCTGACTTTTTACATATATTCCGTTTTTGTAGGTGGTTTATGCTGTTGAATGGCTTATGCTGTTAGTTTGAGATGTAAATCAGCTGTTGACAGCAAATAGATATCACCAGCCAATCTTTGCAGCCGAGCTTGGGATTGGCTTGTTCCGAGCCGCATAAATTTGAGTTCGGTCAAACAGCCCAGCTGGGAAACAGCCGAGTACAGTACCAACCGACCCCACTGTTTTGTTTGTTGCATCAATCGAATTCCACCGCACCAGTTTAGTCACCTACCATACCCCTCTCCACCACTCTTCGAGAACCCGTATCTACCAATCAGCATTATCACTGTAACGACCGCGACGCGTCCAGTCCTTCCCCTCATTCCGCGATATTTTCGCACTTGAGTCAACCAGTTGCTTCCTCACGTCACGAAAGGCCAACTACACATATATCAACCTGTCATTTCCTTACCAAGGGTTCTAAGTTGGTACATCAGAGCGTTTTCAAAAGCGTCCCATCACATACGCGCTGCGGGGTCAATTCCGTCTCCTCCGCGCTATCGCCCCGCGAAAAACCCGCTGCGCGTCTGTGGTGACACAGCATTGCTCGCATTTTGTCTCAAAAAGGCAGTCTCCGGAAGAAGCAAGTGGAACGGCGGTGGTGGTTGAGTTCCAATGGCTTTAGTTGGTAACGTTTCGTCAGTATCATTCGCGCTACAAACACGCAGCAGCGGCTTTCGTGTGGAATAGAGGGGTAACTGACGGTGGTAGTTGAGTTCCAACGGCTAAGTAGAATTCGCAAGTGGCATTCGTTATTAGCACTCGCGTTATAAGCACGCAGCAGCTGCTTCTGTGTGAAGAAAGGAGGTAGAGTAGGATCAGCAGCGACTCGCGCCGCGATGGCGGCCGGAAAGATTGAGGCGCCGCCGCTGGTACTGCCGACGGAGCAGGTGGACTTGATACGAGCGACGTTCGCGTCCAAGATTGAACCCGATGTGTCTAAACACGCCCTCGAACTTTACCTCAAGTAATCCTAAACGAGCGCGGCGCGTCCGTTCTCTGCCATTGTATTAATAGTAGTTTTACATTTTCCCACATCAATCACATTCCTAGGTGGTACGATAAGGTATCACGTTAAGCCGGTCTACATCTAGAAGCATTTCCATCCCCCCTCCCCATTCCGTCCATCCCCCTTCCCCACTCGTCCACCCTCCCTCCGCCCTCTTCCATCCCCTTCCCGCCTTTTCCCTCCTTCGCCCTTGCACATCCCCCTCCCGCCTGTACGGCTACGACCTACATTGCATTGTACCTGCACTTAGAAACGTTCCCATCCTCCCTCCTTCCTTGTCCATCCTCCCTATAACACCTCGCAACCCACTGCATCAAAACGAGAGTGTTCTTTGGCGCAGCGGATTGAGCTTAAAACCCAGGGGTGCACATTCACCTGGGTGGGCATCAGGGGTTACCCTTTGATGCCCACATTACGGGGTGTGCTTTCAACCTGGGGAGCCAGATATTGCCCCAACCCCCACGATATTTTGTTCCCCATCCCCCGCAATTTCTGAATGTGTGCCGCGGTTTTAACACAGCCCACAGGCGTTACACTCCCACCACCTTGTCCATCCACCCACCACTTGTCTAACCCTAGGCGGTTTCCCCTCCCTTCTCTCCCCCCTCTCTTCCCTCCTCCCGTTCTTCCTCTTAACCTCTACCACCTACGTTGCGTTAATCCGGCCTACACCAGGCGACTTTTGAGTCGATTCAAAAGGCCTCGTGTTGCCCTTTACCTCCACCACACCACCTGCATCGCAATAATCCGGCCTACGCCACGCGTCACTTCCGTTTGTCTCGTCTTCGCGCATTTATCCTCTAGCGTGCCAAGCAAGCACTGCCACTTCGCCTCACCAATGCTTGCTATCTGCATCCAGATTTTCACCTAGATTGGCCCATTGTCACCCATCGTCACCCATCGTTATCCATCGTTATCCATTCCACCCTTGTTTCTCGTCTGGTTTGTTTTGTGGTTACTCCCTTCGCCTCTGTCCCCTGCCCCCCTGACACCTGCCCCTTGAACCTCCAACCCCAAACCCTCCTTGCCTCCGGATCTGATACCCGAGGCAGCTCAAATGGTCTCCATGTCTCTATCCATGCATCCGTGCCTCATCCTGCTCCCTCCTTTTCCATCCCCCACCTCCGTTTCTATCCTCCCTCCTACCCTTTCCTCCTCCCTCCATCACCGGAGGCTGCTGGAGCTGATTCCTGAGGCGACTCAGATGTTCTCCATGATTCGCTCGCCACATGCACCCTGTCTCATCCTTCTCTCCCCCTCTCCCATACATCTCCCCCCCTCCCCCCCTCCATCCCCCCACCCTGCTCGGCTGCAGGCTGCTGGAGCTGATACCCGAGGCGAACAAATGTTCTCCATGATTCGCCTCATGGATCCCTGTTTCATCCTTTTCTCTCTCCTCTCCCATACGCCCTCCCCCCCATTCCCTGCATCACCGCAGGCTGCTGGAGCTGATACCTGAGGCAAAGCAAATGTTCTCTATGACGCGCCGAGCCAAGGAGCCGCACCGCGAGAACAAGCTGCTGCAGGCACATGCCACCACGGCCATGCGCATGGTGAGATGATGGTGCGTGTTGAGTGAATGGTGCATGATGAGTGACAAGCGCATTGTGAGTGGGTGGTGCATGGTGAGTGAATGGTGAGTGGCATGCGCATGGTGAGTGGATGGCGCATGGTGATTGACATGTCCATGGTGATTGACATGTGCATGGGGCATGGGGTATGGGGAGTGACCAGACTCCCGGAATGCGTCTGATAAGAAGCGAGATTGGTGGAGCGAGATTGGTGGAGCCAAAGAACACATCAGGTAAGCAAACTTCTACAGACGGATGCCACCATGGCTATGCGCGTCGTGAGTGGCATGCGCATGGTGAGTTAGTGTGCGCTGCTGCGCTGCATGAGATACAGTGAGCAGTGGGGATGGCCAATGTAGACAGGGCAGCCGCACCGCGAGAACAAGCTGCTGCAGACACATGCCACCACGGCCATGCGCATGGTGAGTGGATGGTGGGTTGTGCATGTTAGATGGTGTACAGGTGTCTGAACTCTGAATGCTTCGGATGAGGAGAGAGAGCACAGCCTTACCGTGAAAACAAGCTTCTGCAGGCACTTGCCACCACGACCATGCGCATGGGAGTGGATGGTAGGTGGTGCTTGGTGAGTGCTTGGTGAGTGCATGGTGAGTGCTTGGTGAGTGCATGGTGTTTGCTTGGTGAGTGACATGTGCCGTGCGTGAATGGCGTGTGCTCGCTCGCCCTCCCAAAAGCCTGAACCCTGAACCCTTGACCCTGAACTGAACTTCAAGCCCGAGCCCTCAACCTTAACCCCAAAATAAGCTGACTTGCTGAGGCAGATACTTGGCAGAGAGGTGTATTGAAATCACATGGTTGGGGTTTCTCCAGGCGCCTCTTTTGCTGCTTCTCGTCCACTCACCCTCCCTCTGCCAGGTGTGTGCAGCAGCAGTGAAGCTCGACAAGCAGAAGGAGGTTCGGTCTTTAAAGACGACTCTAGCAGACCTCGGTTCTCGACACTTGCTATTTGGCGTCACAAGCGAACACGCCCCGGTATGGAATCGTCACAGATATTTTAGTATGTTTTTGGTATTGACTGCCGACACTCCTCTCTGTGTGTCACCCACCTCCTTCACTCCTCCCCCTCCCCCGCACCCACATTTGGTCCTGTCCACAATGACCCACTTGTTCAAACGCACTTGTTCCAACGCACTTGTTCCTACGCACTTGTTCCTACTTCATTTCTCCCCTTCACCCCCTCTCCCTCTTCCCCCCCACCCCCTCCCCCCCAACCCCGCCCCTCATGCGAGCTCCCTGCAGAAGCTAAGAGCTGCCTTTGTGGCTGTGCTCTCAGACGCTCTGGGGGACGAGTGGGGAGGAGACGTGGAGCAAGCCTGGGTGGCTGCTTACAATGCCATTGAGTACATGTTTCTAGTTGGATTCCTAGGTCTGCAAGAATAGCTTGATAATGCGTTTATCATATATGAATGTAATATGTGGTATTGTAATGCAATCATCATCCACAGTGGCCAAGCACAAGTTTAGCAAGCTATGATCCACAGTTCCCTGAAAAGGTTTACAAGATACACTTCAGGGATATGGAATAGTGTAGCCTCTTACATATTCGTAGGGGAAAATATGTTATTGGTAACCAACATGGGACTCGAAAACGTTTTTGTTGAGAACATTAAGGGTACGGTCACTCCAAAGGGTGTTTTCACACGACTGATAAAGCGTCTCATGGAATTAGTCACTTTTAGGTGGTAAGAAATCACGCGAATGGTCACAGATGAAACTCCCGCCAAAAAAATAAACCCAGATGGAACCTGGTGTCAAATGTTGTAGCCTATAGTGAGGATTGTCTTAGGGGGTACAAAACTTAGGGTTAGCTATATGTACCTCAACCAACATCAATGCATCATTCATTCCTCATTCCAACATGGTATCAGTTAGGTTAGGATCCTGTGGGATCCCGCTCCTCCGATCATCGTTCGTACCTCCCGAGCCTGATCCTCGCTCTCCTACGTCCCGTTTCTGTAGCTACCAAGCCTAGCGCCGGCCCTTCCGCAGTAGAGATAGCCGTTCCCCCCCCCCCCCCCTCCTCCCGTCGCGTCGCGTTTTCCCCCGTCGCGTCGCGCCCGTCCCCCTCCTCCCGTCACGTCGCGTTTCCCCCCGTCGCGTCGCGCCCGTCCCCCTCCCCCCGTCGCGTCGCTTTCCCCCGTCGCGTCGCGCCCGTCCCCCCCCCGCGTCACGTCGGGTCCCCCCCCTGCCCTCCCCGTCGCGTCGTGTCGCTGCCCAGCGCTGCGCCCGCGGCCGCGCCCGTCGCCCTGGCCCGCGCCCTAGCCCGTCGCCCAGGCCCGCGCCCCAGCCCGTCGCCCCATCCCGCGCCCTAGCCCGTCGCCCAGGCCCGCGCCCCATCCCGTCACCCAGGCCCGCGCCCTAGCCCGTCGCCCTGGCCCGCGCCCTAGCCCGTCGCCCAGGCCCGCGCCCCAGCCCGTCGCCCCAGCCTGCGCCCTGACCCGTCACCCTGGCCTGCGCCCTAGCCCGTCGCCTAGGCCGCCCCTACGCGCGTCGCCGCTGCGCCCCACTTCCGTTTTCCACCGCTGCGTCCGCTCCCGTTGCCCGCTGCCTCGTCCGTCGTTCACTTCCGTTGTCCAAGGGTACTGCTTAACCCTAGTCTCCCACTCGCCTATTGATGTCCCCTACCGACACATTTGCGTTAGTTTCCACTATGGCGACTCTGCGTGTACTTCGTTTCGACGCTGACGGTAGACCTCTTGATTTTTCCGTCTGGCTTCTTCGCGCTCGCCGTCTGTTAGAGAGTCAGGTCCAGGCAGGCGAGACCCTCTGGGCGCACGCTACTGGTGCCCTCCCTGCGCCCCCCGACCCTACGCCTTTAGGACCTGCCCCTGACGACGCCGCTAGAGCTCACTTTGCCACCCAGCGAGCTGACCAGACGGCTTGGACGTCGCGTGACGCTGCGGCCTGCATCGCGCTCAGCAGCCTCCTCCCTGAGTCTGAGGAGGTTCACTTCAGTCTGTTTCGCACCGCTGCTGAGTACCTCACTGCGATTAAGGCCCGCTACTCTACTCCCGCTACTGTCTCTCTTGGCCGCCTTTTCCTCCCGTTCCTGTTTCCTGACCTAGCGTCTTTTGAGCGCTCTACTGACTTGATCGCTCACCTCCGCTCGCTCGACGCTAGTTACCGCGCTGCTTGCACTGAGGCACAGCTTGCACTGCTTCCTCCCCCTATGGCGATTACTATCTATTTCATCGCCACTAGCCTCCCTGACCGCCTTGCCTCCGTTCGTGACGTGCTTCTGCTGAAGCACCCTAGTGAGCTCACCGTCGAGGTCCTTGAGTCTGCGCTCAAGGACGTCGAGAGCAACCTTCGCTCGGTAGCCGCTGCCTCTGGTGCTGTGCCCCCCCCACTCTTCCACGGGTGCACAGTCCCGCAGTTACCCACCTTTACTGCCTCTCTCGCCACTGCTGCTACTAACGCGACTACAGCTGCTGTTACGACTGTGTCGCAGTCCCGCGGTAGGGGTGGCAAGAAGGGCGGTTCTGGTGGTGGTGGTGGTGGAGGCGGAGGTAGTGGAGGTGGCGTTGCGACTGGCGGTGGTGGGAGTGCAGGACCTGGAGAGACGTCTCGTGCAGCGACAGGTGACTCTACTGCGCCTGCTGGTGGTGGCGACGCCCGAGTTCGTCAGTCGCCTCCCGTACTGCCGGCCCCGGTGGGTGGAGCAGCGGCGTGGTACCAGGCCCAGCGTCAGCAGCAGCTTCAGCAGCAGCAGCAGCCCCTCTCCTCCCAGCAGCCTCAGCAGCAGCAGCGGCCGCAGCTGGCTCCGGGGTCGGGGCTGCGTTTGCCCCAGCGCGGTGCTGCTTACCCTCCCTGCACCTATCAGGTTCTGACAGGTCCTCGCCGAGGCCACCCTTGTGGCCGCTTTCACCCCCCTGGTCAGTGTTTTGCTCAGCTCACTGACACGGTTCGTTTGGTCTACGGGGTTGGCAGTCCTGCCCCTGAGTGGCTTCCTCTTGTTCAGCGTTACGGCTCCGCTCTGTGGGGCATGTCTGCTGAGCAGTTAGCAGATCTGATTGGAACTCCTCATGCTATGTATGCTGTTGTTGACTCTAGTGTTTCTGACTCTGTTTACTCTGGTGTTGTTAGCTTAGGTGCTAGCCTTGCTCAGTTGCCTGTTGCTAGTGTAGGTTCTTGTGTAGACTCTAGTCCAGCGCCTACCTCGGAGGACACTTCGCTGTCGTTCACGCTGGACTCTGGAGCCTCGCACTGCTTCTTTCGTGACAGCACGACACTTACACCACTTCCTGCACCTGTCTCCGTGGCGTTGGCTGATCCCACCTCGGGACCGGTCACAGCGCGTCACACTACCACCTTGCCGTGTCCTGCTGCTCCCTCCGGGTCTCTCACTGGGTTTCACGTCCCCCGTGTCCTGCAGGTGCTCGCTCTAGAGAGGTTGGTACTGAGACAGTTCCTGTACCGGTTTCTGGTTCTGGGGGTGCTGGAGTTGGAGCTGAGCCGCGGGTTGCAGAGGACTCTCGTCTTCCGGGAGCTGGTGCTGGTCGTGCGGAGTCTGGGGGTGCTGCGTCTGGGGGTGAGGGTGAGACCCCTTCGGTTTCTGGTGCGTCTGGGTCTGGAGCTGGTGTTGGTGCTGACTCTGGGGGTGGTGCGCCTGGTGCTTCGGAGGTGGACTCTGGGGCTGCCGCTGCCCCGGACACTACTACTACCCCCCACCCCTACCCGACCAGGTTCCAGGCTCGTGTTCGCCGTGCTCGTGAGGAGCAGCTGGAGTTGGAGAGAGAGGAGCGAGAGTTGCAGCGGCTGGAGGAGCAGGAGCGGCAGCAGCAGCAGCAGCAGCCACCTCCTCCTCCTGTCTCGGGTCTTCGGACCCTTGGTCTCCCCTCTCCCTCTCCTTCCTCCTCCCCCTCTCCTCCTGTCTCTGGTCCTCCGCTTCCTCAACCTGACCCCTCTCCTGCTGTTTTCCCTTGTTCTCAGTCTTCGTTGTCCCCTCCTCCTTCTCAGACTTGGGCCTCTCGTCGCTCCCCTCGTGCTCGTCCCTCGTCTCCTGTTCCCTTCACTGACCTTCGTACTGCCTTACTTCGTTCTAGTCCACCTCGTCCGTCTCCGTCTGTGCTTCCGTCTCCTCCTGAGTCGGCTCTCACTGCGTCGCTCCCTTCTCTTGTCACTGACTACTACCGCACGTACCGTCCTGTTCTCTCTCGTGTTCTCGCCTCGCTTGTTACTCACCCTCGTGCCTCTGTGTCCTCTGTGTCCGCTCTTACTGCCGCAGTCACTGACTTTGCCTCTACCCGCCGCCTTGACTTCGCCACCGGTCTTGTGGCTGCTCCTCCTTCCAGTCCTCTGGCCGTCGGGGGTGTGTCTGACCTTGCCTGTGACGCCTTAGAGGACAGGCAGTTTGAGCTAGAGTTCCTGGCAGCCGCTTCCCCTCATCTCTGTGCCATGCTCCTCGCCCCTGAGGGTGACCCAGACGCCCTTGACATTCCGACTCCTCGCACTTACGCTGAGGCAGTGTCAGGGCCTTGGGCCTCTCAGTGGAGAGCTGCCATGGACGCAGAGATGGCCTCCTACAGATCCACAGGCACCTACGTCGATGAGGTTCCCCCTCCTGGGGCGAACGTAGTCGACGGCATGTGGATCTACAGGGTGAAGCGGCCACCGGGATCTCCCCCGGTCTTCAAGGCGCGCTACGTGGCTAGAGGTTTCAGTCAGCGTGAGGGAGTTGACTTCTTTCAGACCTTTGCGCCTACCCCGAAGATGACCACTCTTCGGGTGTTACTACACGTAGCAGCACAGAGAGACTACGAGTTACACTCTCTCGACTTCTCCACTGCTTTCCTTCAGGGCAGTCTTCACGAGGAGGTCTGGCTGCGTCGTCCCTCTGCCTTCACTGGCACCTTCCCTCCTGGGACCCAGTGGAGGCTGAGGCGACCTGTCTACGGTCTTCGCCAGGCCCCTCGTGAGTGGCACGACACTCTGCGTTCTACCCTCTCTGACCTTGGGTTCCAGCCGTCTTCTGCCGACCCGTCGCTGTTCGTTCGTCGCGGCTCCACACCGTTCTTTGTTCTGGTCTACGTCGACGACCTCGTTTTCGCCACTGCTGACAGGGTTGCTTTGGCAGACGTGAAGTCCGAACTGCAGAAGAGACACACCTGCACTGACCTTGGTGAGCTGCGCCACTACCTTGGCCTGCAGATCACCAGGGACAGAGCTGCTTGCACCATTACACTTTCACAGTCACACATGGTGCAGCAGGTCCTTCAGCGGTTCGGGCTTCAGCACTCCACAGTACATCGCACACCTCTTGCTGTTGACCACAGACTCACTGGACCCTTTCCTGACGAGTCGTTTGAGCCTAGTGGTCCCTACGCAGAGCTTGTGGGTTGCCTCATGTACCTGATGACTTGTACTCGCCCGGACCTCGCCTTCCCTCTCAGTGTCCTGGCGCGCTTTGTTGCGCCAGGGAGACACCGTCCTGTTCACTGGACAGCAGCTGTGAGGGTGGCGAAGTACCTAGCG